GGGAGACCTGGCATAGGGGACTCAGAACCCCCTCCCCCCCCCACAAACACACACACAAAACAAAAGCTAGAGTCTGACCCCAAGTGCCTGAAGTTAGGCAGACCCCCCCACCCCACCCCCCAAAAATAGTCCCTGTTCTGGGAAACACAGCCCACTCCCTAATTAGGAGGAAAGGAGCCAGCCTTGCTACGTTCCCGTCGCCGTCATTGGGGGCTACTTGGCCGCGGATCAACCCGCATGCCTAGTAAATATTTCATCTCACGGGGCTGTGGCGCTGATGAAAGATTCAGAGAAAGCATCTGAGGTGAAGGCAGCAGGCAGGCAGGCTCAGGTACGAAGGACCAAAGCCCGTGGCAAGCTGGCCCTCCCTGCCCCAACCCGCGTAGCTTTTATCTGTCTCTCTTGGCCCTGCTGCTCCTCACTCGGGCCGAATGGAGGTGACGCAGGCCGAAGCACAGCCAGTAGAAAGGTCCACAGGGGAAGCCCGTCAAGTGCAGGAGATGGGGGGGGGAGCTGTCTGCGAAGAGTTGACGTGAGTTTTGTTATTTGTCTGCCAGTGCCAGAAGCCATTAAAATGTCGTCCTGTTTCAGAGAAGGGGGGTCTCTGAAGACAGGCACTGACAGGAAACAAATAGGCTTAAAGAGAGCAAAAGCGAGCAAAGGAGGGACGGGGGGGGAGGGGAAGAAAGCCCCAGCCGGCCGCGCTCCTGCCACTGACAAATCCACTCATCTGAACCAAGGCGTTTAATTAGCTTGAAAAAAGGGATGTTGAGTTTCACTTATAGTGTTCTGGCTCGGCCCAGCTAGAGGGGGCCAGGGCAGGGGAAGCCAGAGAAAGCAGGGGAACCAGGGAGAAGTGAAGAAAGCAATTTGTCCTCCATTCTCTTCCACCACGTGCAATTCAGCAGGGAACATTATGTCATTAGTGTGGCTCTTAAGCTTCCCCGGCTCGCTCCCTCTCTGGGGAGAAAGTGGAAGGGGATGCCAGTGAAACAATTAAGTAAAAGGCAGTTTAAAGTTGGCAAACGCTATTCGGGGAGCCGGTGCCGGATCACGGCTGGTGGGAAAGCTCTGCCAGAGGCTGACGGCTGAAGGGTATAAAGAGCAGGGGAAAGAGAAGCAAACAAAAGATAACGTGGCCTCGAAATGGCACCATTGGAAACGGCTCCGGTTGTGCCAGATTAGGGGCTGGAGGCTGAGCTAGATGAAGGGGTAACAGTGTCAGATTTGCCTTTGTCCTCCCTGCTAGCTGTTGGGTAGGATGGTCCCGGGGCTAGGGCAGGGGCTCAGGACTTTGGCAAGCCAGGTTCAGTTCCCTGCTCTGTCACAGATCTCTTGGGCATGTCATGTGGCCTCTCCTCTGTTGCTCACCTGTACAACGGGGATAATAATATTTCCCTACTTCGTGGATGGGTTGTGAGGATAAATACTTTAAAGATTGTGAAGTGCTTTTGAGATCTCCATTGCTGAAAAGTGCTATAGAAGAGCTATGAATCATTATTCATTTTCCAGTCACTAATAAGATCCCATATCTCTGTCACTAGGGGGCGACAGGGATAGTTCTCTGATCCTCTTGCCCTCTGTTGGATGGAATCAGGACTGTTCTGCCATGTGTCATATGCCCTGTACTGTTATGGCTAATGAAGTGACTTCTTTTTGCTCAGGCTATTAGCGCTTTGGGAACAGGGAGGATCCAAGCACTAGTGCATTGGAACAGCTTACCTAGGGTTGTGATGGATTCCTCACTGGCAATTTTTAAATCAAGATTGGATGTTTTTCTACCAGAGAGGCTCTAATTGAAAACAGGAATTAATTCAGAGAAGCTCTCTGGCCTGTGTTATGCTGGAGGTTAGACTAGATGATCATAATAGTCCCTTCTGGCCTTACAAGCTATGAATTCCTGAAGGTATCCCAATGTGCGGCATAGCCACAACTCCAAAAGCCCCAAGAAAGCACCAATTTTTGTCACAGTATCATTCGGAAGCATCTTTCACCTGAAGGTGCCAAGCTGCATATGCAGGGCTCGTTCACTGGCTGCTGAAATGCAGCCACTTCTGGTGGGGACAGCACATAGCTTCACACGGCAACCCCCCAAAACATCTTCAGATAGCAATAACATTTGCAACTGAAATCACAGTGCGGAAAGTTCGGGAGGCAGAATTTAATTACCAAAGCTGGATACAGGCCAGAACACCAGGGTTAACACCTTGACTTTTAGGAAAAGTGCCTTGGGATATTTAACAACCACGGGTGCCCACCCTCCTCCCAACTAATTCCAGCACTTAAAACCAGTACAAGTAAACTGAGTGCGAGAAAATTCCTGACATGAGTTAACACTGACTCGGAGGGGGCTGTGTGACAATCAGACCCCAATTATAGACCTGCGGAGGGGCGGGGGGAGTCTGAGTTTGGATCAGCTTAGCAAAGGGATCATTAGTATTACAGTCCCATAGAAAGGCACAATTTTTCCAGCACAGCGGTTCTGGTGTCTCATTAAAAGTCATCAGGCTCAAAGCAAACAAACCACTGCATGTCAGTTTGGGTTTTATGGGGAGAAATAATTGTTCCCACAGCCCAATATGTGTATAAAACTCACTCATAAAACTCGACCTAGCTTTCCAGAGGCTGCTCAGAATAAGGTGTGAGGAGGAGGAGGGGAAAGCCATTGTTCCATTGTTAGTTTCATAATAGGGAGAAGGAAGAAAACCTTAAAGGAAGTGGAAAAGCAAAGAATGAAATATCTAGGAAGGGAAATCAACATACTAAGGGCTCATCTACCTGAGGAAATTTACTAGCATTTAAGTTTATAAGTACCTGCCTGGGGAACACAACTTTGATATTGGGCTCTTCAATCTAGCAGTCAAAGGTCTAGCAAAGGCTGGAAGTTGAAAAGCTAGACAAATTCAGACTGGAAATAAGATGCTAATTTTTAACAGTGAGGGTTATTAACCATTGGAACAATTTACCAAGGCTTGTGGTGGATTCTCCAAGGCTGTAGATTTTTAAATCAAATTGGATGTTTTTCTAAAAGAGATGCTCTACATCAACAAGAAATTAATTCAGGGCAATTCTATGGCCTGGGTTATATAGGAGGTCCGACAAGATGATCATAGAGGTCCAATCTGTCTTTATAATCTATTTATACTTACACTGCTATAGCTCTCCCCGTATAACTCCCTGTTCAGGGACTGAGCTGTAGCTCACGAAAGCTTCTGCTCAACTAAATTGGTAAGTCTCTGTGGTGCCACAAGTCCTCCTTTTCTTTTTGCGAATACAGACTAACACGGCTGTTACTCTGAAACCTGTTCAGGGACTCTTATTCCTAAAGAGGAGGGTATCTTTTTCCGGTTTAGCTATGTTGCTTTGGAAGCAGGAGTTATGTGGGTAGATCTATAATAGTATAATTATATCTGTATAGCTATGCCGGTAAATTTCCTAGTGTAGATACGCCCTGACAGTTCACACTGGATTTGCACTGCGACTGTGATATCACTTTCTCTTAGAACGGCGTTGGATGAAGCTCCAATGATGCTATACACAGGGTGTTAGAGTGGAGCTGATGACCCATCTGCAAAGGCCCAACAGTGTGGGTAGGTGTGGGTGTGTATGTGGGGGGTGCGTGTGCATGTGCATCTCTCCTGTGTGTTACAGCAGAAGAAATGCAACACAAAACTTTTCTGGGGTTCCCTGAATAGGGGCCTTACCGGTAAACTTCCTGAGACAAGCTGGTACCAGCTGTGCTGAGCCTGGGAGTATCTTTCTTCCTGGCTGAGGTGGCAGGAGCTGCACCTAGGAGCTGCTCATGGCAGGAACTGCAATCCCGGGTCGGAATCAAGTGTATCCATCAGGTTACAAGATATGACATGGTGACATTTCGTGAAGTCATAAAGGTTAAAGTCCTTCACATTTCTCCTTGAGGCTGGAATACTCCAACACACTGGTATCTCAGACCCTGAGATACTGGTTCTTGATGTGACATACTTTGGCACTACGCTGCCAGCTTGCATAGCAGGGCATCAGCTGGGGGTCAGCATAACAACACAACATTGCAACGTGCCATTGTCACATCGTCTTGCGAGGCACAGTTTAGCGGCGTTGTGGGGTATCGACTATTCAATTAGACACTGGCGACCTGGTATTTCATCTGGACACTGTGTGTCGCAGCCAGGACGTGGCAGGAGGCCGTAATGGTGCATGGCTGTTTCATTTCAATGGCGTGCTGTTGCACGAGGCCCCCACATTGTGAGGTGCTCGGTGTCCCTCCGATGCTGTTTCTTGTGACACCATTGTGCCACGAGGTAATGGTGTTTCATCTTCGTGCCCCATTCAGACAGCAGCCCACGCCATCCCATTGCCTGGGTGCTCGCATGTCATGCCAAGGCCACTTTCTGACCCAGTGCCCCGGCCTGAGCTCATGCCGTGTTCTAATGTAAATGGAACGCTGCCTGGGGGGGAAGGGCATGTTGCCACCTGTCCAGGTTCTCCCAGGGTCGTCCCTTCGTGGCGGGGGCTGGCCGGGGAGATCTGTGAGTCAGGGTGCAGAGCACACGCTGCCCCTGGCCGGTTCTGGGGGCTCCGGCCCAGCCTGGCTGTCCCGGTTTTTTGCTGCTCGGAGGTGGCCGCCCTACGGGGGGGGCGACCTGACGACACGTCGCCTGGACGTGACACCGGCTCGGCGCCAAGTTTGACTCGTGGCCTTCGTCTCAACTCAGCACCACGACGCCAGGCGACGACGGCGCCGCCTTGCTTCCAGGGCATGGGGAGAAGAGGCCTCAGTTTGCGGGTAAATTCCCCCACCCAGTGCCCTGACCCCCTCAGCCCCACTTCCGGTCCCCACTGCCCCGAAAGGCCCCACTTCCGGTCCCCACTGCCCCGAAAGGCCCCGCTTCCGGTCCCCATTGACCCCCAAATGCCCCGCTTCCGGCCTCCATCGCCCCACTTCCGGTCTTTCTGCGCCTTCCCGCAAACCAACTTCCGGCCTCCATCGCCCGACTTCCGGTCAGTGGAGGGCGAGGTGTCAGGCACGTCTCTGGGCAGCCCCCGTGACTGCTGGCAGGACCCGCCCCGTGAGGTCACGTGAACAGACAAGATGGCGGCGCCCATGCGGCGGGCATGGCTGGGGCTGCTCCGGGCCGCGCTCCCGGCCGCCCGCCCCTATCACGCCCCGCCCCCGCGGCGCAAGCCGGGCGGCGTGTACCGGCCGGACCCCAGCGATCCCCTCACGCCCCTGTGGCAGCTGCAGCCCGCCTACGAGGCCAAGCTGTACGGGCGCCACGGCTCGGCCTCCGGCGTGGACCCGGCCCGGCTCTGGCCCAGCCCCGAGAAGCTGCAGGAGCTGGAGGCCGAGGAGAGGGAGTGGTTCCCCGGGCTGAGGGAGATGGAGGCGGCGCTGGACGCGAAGGAGCAGCAGGAGGAGAGGCAGCGGGTAGAGAGGTGCGGAGGGGGCTTGACCTGGGGGCCGGAGGTCTGGGTCCTGACTGCCCTGGGAAGGGGCCCTGAAACTTGACTCATTCCTGGGGGAGGGGGAGGACCCTAGTCATGGAGGGGTCAGGGACCCCAAAACCTGACCCAGTTCCTGGGGAGGGAGGACCCTACTCCAGAGGTGGGAGAGATGCTGGAACCTAACCCTAGTCCTGGGGTGATGACCCCTATTTGGGGTGTGACACCACCCCCTCCCCCCAACACATTGCTCTAGGAAATGCTCCCGCCCCACTCCTATGAGCAAGGTCTCCAGGCCCAAGACCTGCCCTCAGGGAAAGGGAATGGTGACCTCTGTCGCCCCACCCCAAATTACAGTGTAAGGTTTGGGAACAGCAATGGCAGTAGAGATACAGAGAGTCTCCCCCCTGTGGTGGGTGTCTCACTGCTGGCTTGTTTGCCCTCCTGGCAGAGAGAAGCTGATTGCCGCCAACATGGCCAAGATGCCGCAGATGATCGAGGACTGGCGGCGGGAGAAGGCGGCACGCAAGGAGAAGGAGCGGGAGGACAAGGCCCGGCGGGAGCGGCTGCTGGCCGAGGCCCAGGAGCGTTTTGGCCACAAGGTGGACTACCGCAGTGCCAAATTCCAGGAGCTGGTGCAGGAGATGGAGAAGAAACAGCGCAAGGAGCTCAAGCTGAAGAAGAAACAGCTCAAGGAGGAGGCAAAGAAGAAAACTGCTGCTGACCCAGAACCTGTTCCTGTCTCAGCTGGTGGGCCTGAACCAGCCTAGGGGGGCACATGATCTAGGAGCCTCAGATTGGGTCAGTGTTAGAGCCACAGTTGTCACTGAGCTAAATTCTGTTCCCAGTGCGTGCTAGAGGGGGGCTGAGCAGGGAGCTGGTGGCTCAGATCTGGAACGCCAATCATGCTTCTTGGAGCAGCAAGTCAACACCACCATTTACTCTAACTGGGGTGGGGTGCGGGGGGTGCAGCACTGGGTGAATAGGCACTGCACTGCAAGGTCAGCCCCAGTGTAGGAGCTGCCCCCTGGAGTGTGACAGGGGGCGGGGGCAGCCTCCCTCCCTGCATGTACAGCCAGCCAGCCAGCTCAGCCTGGGTTCTTCAGCCACCCCCGCAGCTGGACTCAGATCTGTGCACGGGCCACCTAATGGAGTTTGAGTAAGGTAGAGGGAGGTCATTGGAAGGTCCTGCTCAAAAGCCCTAGGCTCCCCCCAACTTCAGATTGGGAATGATATGTTGTGGGGGAGCTGGCATTACCCTACAGAGCCCCGGGACTCCCGAGTGAATGCTGCTATCGCAGAGAGGGTGATGACCACATGGTGACTGTGTTAGTAATGTAACCACTAGGCTCCTTTCTCAGCCAGTTCTGCCCCTACCAAGCCAGCAACCTGAGATCCCTGTACTTTGTATGTTGAAATAAAAGGCTCTGACTAGGGCCTTGGCTGCCTGGGACTTTTCTTTATCAGCCAGTTCTGATCCCAGAAGGTTCTGATGTCTCTCCTGGCCACAAATGTGCCTTAGAGACCACTGGTGCTTCTGGTAAGAGATGAGTCTTGCTTCCCCCACACCCATCTGTCCCCCCATGGGGTTAGTTCACTAGGATGCCCTTTTAACTTTCTGTCTTGAGCTGTCACATTCCAGCCCAGTGGTGGCTGCATTTCAGCAGTGGGCAAGTGACTCCTGTATATAATCGCTCTTAGCTAGGGCTTTTCATCAGTAGGTCTCAAATAGCTTTCCAAAGGAGGTCAGTATCATGACCTCTGTTTTACAGATGGGAAAACCAAGGCATTGGGAGGAGAAGGGACTTGCCCAAAGTAACGCAGCAGGTCAGGGACCCAGGGATCCCAGGCCTCATGACACCCAGGCCTGTGCTCTATCCACTAGCCTCCTTTCCCTACCTCAAGGAGCAGCACGATTTTGTTAGGAAGGAGTGTGATTCATTGATCTTTCATAGCCAAAATACCCATCCATGGCCAGTTCCCTGCACTCTCTGCACCTAGTTGCATTTTCTTCCAAATTTGGAGACTGACTCATACATGTTTCAGAGTAACAGACATGGCAAGGGTGTAACCAGACGCTTTGTCCTTCCCTAGAGCGTCGTTACACTCTAGGGAAGGACAAAGAATGTACCACCATACGCTCAAAGAATCCCTGAGCGTTTGCTCCTTTCTCTGCTTCAGGGGAGGAAACGTGATCACAGAAGCGTAGAGCTGGATGGGACCTCCACAAATCATCTAGTCCAGCCCCCATGCTGAGGTAGGACCAAGTAAACAGACTGGCCCTGTCAAATGTTGGGCCAATCCATTCATAAAAGCCCCCAAAGACAGGATTCCTCCCATGGAAGCCTATTCCAGAGCGTAACTAACTCAGAGGCAGGACATTTTTCCTGGTATCTAACCTAACTCCCTTGCTGCAGATTAAGCCCGTTACTTCTTGTCCTACCCTCAGGGAACATGAACAACTGATCCCTGTCCCCTTTAGAACAGCTTTGAAGACTGTCATAGGCTCCCCCTTAGTCTTCTCTCCTTGAGACTGAACCTGCACATTTTAGAAAAATGTTTCCTCATATTGTAAGAGTAGGGAAGACTGGGAGCCAGGACCTATATTAGGTACTTACAGGGCCCCATCCCTGAGGTATTTGAGCCCCTCACAATTCTTAATGTATTTATCCTGACACACACCCCTGTGAGGCAGGGCAGTACTAGTATCCCTGTTTTAGGGATGGGGAAACTGAGGCACAGCATGGTTAAGTGAGTTGCCCACAGGCAGTCTGAGGCAGAGCAGGGAATTGAATGTGGGCCTCTCCTGTGCTGAGTTAGTGCCCTAGTCACCGAGCCATTTCTTACCTTCTGAGTTGCTGAACAGCCTTGGCAAGTCACTTCCCCTCTTGCTGCCTCGGGGTCATGGCTGGGAACTGAAATTTGTGACTGTTTTGAAAGTGTTTCACAGTTCAGAGGACAGAGGTTTTCCTCCGCACTCTCTGAGCTGGTTTAGACACTTCACTCCCCCCTCTCCCATCCCTTTGGCATATTTCCTGAGCCGTTTCACACAGCTGGGACAGCTCTCCTGATCAAACAGCAAAATTGGTTTCCTCGCAACACTAGCAGCTGGGCTGTTGGCTTGGGAGACCCTTCTTTATGCAGAGCAGGTGTTCGCACGGTTGAAAAACAAAATCCTCCCTCACGGGTTACAGCTGGGAGAGCCAGGCCCAGCTGCAGAGCAAGGAATCCAGCTCTGAATGGCAGCTTTGCAGCCGGCAGGGGTGCACTTCCCACGGGGGCCGCTAGGAGGCAGCTGCTGCATCAGTGACTCAAAGCTGCTGACCGAGCCCAGTTACAACCTTATATCTGACCCCCTCCTCCCTCCCTTAAGGGAGGTTTTGTTTGCTTATGGGGATCATGTGTGGCAATCAAGGGCTGACTCATCCCAGAGACAATGCTCAGGGCTTAGCCATGGTGGGGCTGGATGTTTACCAAGGCAGCAATTTCCGTGGACTACAAGTCGGATGTCATTCCCTATGGGGTAAGGGGGGCAGTTGCCTGCCCCTCTCTGCCTTTTCATAGGTCCATGGGCTCCGCTTCTGATACTGCTTACAACATTCTCTGTTCTGCCATAACCTTGCTGCCCACCCACCCAACGAGTGGCCACGATCCTGGAATAATTATTACTTAAATCACCCTTGTACAGCAACCCTTTGCTAAGGGGCAAAAATTTTCCCTCTGTCTCACCAGAGCCCGCACCCGGAAGGAAGTTGAAGCTCGACACATTCAGGTGTGCAGTTTTAACAGGGAGGGTAATTAACTATTGGAACAAACTTGCCCCAGAGTGCCGTGGATTCTCCAGCTGGGGTAAGCTTTAAATCGAGCTGGGATGTTTTCCTCAAAGAGCTGCTCTGGTTCGAACAGGAATTCATCCAGGGCCGGTGTTATACAGGAGGTCAGACGAGAAGAGCACAGCACACTCTGAATCCACAGCCCAGGTGCTCCCTGAAATCAGTGGAGTTGGGCCCCTAAGTACCCTTGAAGATCTCGGCCTGTGGAACAATTCTGGTAAGCTTCCACATGTAGCCAAGCCCTCGGAATTCCTAGTGAGAGGGACTTTCTAGTGCATTCAACTTCCCTCCCTCATAAGTTGTACCACTTTAAATACCCCACAATAGTTAAACTGGTACAACCCTCTGTAGCCCAGCTGCTCTTACATAAAGGTGTTTCTAGCAGCATCGCTGTGCCCACATGGGAAGTAGAGTAAGCTTGTAACTGCAGCTCTGCTAGAGGTTGGAGCAATATTTGTTTAAATAAAAGGTGATACCAGGACAAAATCTGTGTGTAAAGGAGCACAGACCCATTGGAAAACCTCTATGACTTGCCAAGTAAAAGTACTTTCAAAAGCCCGACCCAAAGGGGGCACAAAATAGTGAACAGGATAAAGGTGCCTGGCGTGTGTTGTTCCACCCTATCATGGTATGATCATCCCTAGCTCTTCATCAGTAGCTCTCAAAGCACTTTCCAAAGGAGGTGAGTGGCATTAGCCCTATTTTACAGAATGGGGAAACTGAGGCACAGACCAGTGAAAGTGAGGCTAATGGCAGAGCTGGGGAATAGAACCCTGCTCTCTCAGGACCCAGTCCAGTGCTCTATCCACTAGGACATACTGCCTCCCAGCTCAACACATCTAAATCACCCGCGAAGGCAATACATATTTGTACATAAGGTGCGTTTGACCTGCAGAACCCACCAACACATGATATTGGGCCCAAGATTCTATCAGGATGCAAAAAAGGTGATAATTGTGCAGAGGATAAGAACAGCTGCAGTTACATTAGACCAGATAAAAACAAAAATTAGGGTTATAGATTCAAGGCACATGTTGACCCCCTTATTGGCTGGGGTTAGGGAGAAATTACCCCATTGTCTGGATATCCCATCATTGCCTACTGGGAGGTGTCTTGCAGGTGGTGTTGACCTGGCATTTCCTGTGGGCCTGAATTCAGCTGAATCAGTGGGATAAACACATATACCACCCTAATATCAGGCCCCTGGGCAAAGCTGCATGCTAAATAAAACCAACAGGGGGCAGAGTTCAGTATATTCATAGGTGCCCCCCAACCATTTTTGCATCAGGAGAAAAAAATACCCAACACCCTGGAATACAAATTAAACATCTGTATTTTTTATTACATCATCTCCAGAATTAAAAGGATTTAAAACTCTTGATGGAACCCAATTCGATTTTAAAATAAGATTCCTCCATACAGATCCCAAACATCCATTATTTAACCAATTGTTCATGTAAAGAAAGTCCCATCACCCCTTTAGCACAGCCACCTCGCGACGGGTGTTTCTTCTCTCGCCAGCTCTGTGCTGGGGTTAGACATTCACACGTGGAGCAGGGATCGAACCAGCTGTCTCTTGGTCATGGGGAAATCGTGCAATATGGGTGCTGGCCCCCCTCAACAGCAGTTCTGTCCTCTAACAGGGCGTGTCTATTTGAAAGCGCACCTGTGTAACTAAATGGGTTTAAAAGCAACTGAGTCAATTAAATCAATGCAAGCCCATGTGGACGCTTATATTGGTTTAGCTTAAATCTGTTTCTAATGAACTCAGGCCCGCTTACATACAAAGTTGCAGCCGTTTCACGGAGGCTTTGGCTGCACTGAAAACTGCACCGGGATAACGCCGTGCGTTTCAGATCTGTCATGACAACAGGACAGACTCCTCCCCACACGAGCGCATTCAGCCTCACACCTGTGGGCCAGCGCATTGCCCGCCCAGCAGAGGTCTCTTGGCAAACAGCCCAGTGCATCATGGGTATGCATCCCAGCATCCTCCAGCAGGCACGTGGCTTGTGGGGCAGCTGCTGTGCATTGTGGGATCCCCCACTATTCCACCCCATAACCCAGCGCTCTCTTGTGTAATGTACAAGCGCAGGGAAACAGCCTTCTCCATTGGCCTGCTGCGTTTGCAAGGCCCCAGCACCTGGACTCAGCGTGGGATGGCTGGACTGCGAATGCGGCACTTATGCAGCTATTCGTGCAACACGGCTGCCTCCCCCACCCCTAACCTTATCCCAGCCCCCAGCCCGGAGCAACATCACTTCTGCTTCGGTAGCTGGCAAGCGAGGACCCGGCCTGCAGCACACGCAGAGCAGGACCCAGGTTGCTGGCCTTGGCACGCTCCCAGCCATGAGGCGTGTGGCTGCCTGGGTTTGGCCCAGACGCTTCTTCAGCATGACAGGGCCTTGGCCAGGCCAAATTTGAGTGAGTGGCCCCTGTTGAAAGGAGTCGGCCCGTGGCCCAGGTGGCCTCCAGTTCTGCAGCCTATGGGACTGACCAATATCAACCCAATTTCAACCCATGAGCATCTACACACAAAGATGCACTGGTTGTACTAAACCAATGTCAGTTAAAGTTGCCCAACTTCTGTGTTTAGACAAGCCCCGCAATGAAACCCAAATAAACCCGGCTTAAACCGGAGTCTTTTGCGCTGATTTCGCTAGATCAGATTAAAGTGTAACCAGTGGGACTTTGAATATAGACAAGGCCAGAGTGGACTGAGGTAAATGGTGACAGATGATTTAGTACCTAAAAAGCACCCGGCCTCAAGAGATCTGCGGTCGATTCCCAGTTTCCCCATCTGGTGTCCTTGGTTCACAGTTGCAGGCCACGTTGCCTCAGTTTCCCCATTTGTCAAACGCGGAGGGGGATGGCTCAGAGGCATGTACAGATGCGGGGGGGCATGGCTCAGAGGCTGCCCACCTCATTAAAAACACACTGTAAGAACCGGCCATAGGATTCGGCCCTTTTCCCTGTGCTGAGGGCTTTCGGGGGAGACCTGAATTTCCGGACCAAAAAAGAAGAGGCAGAAATAGAAAAACAAGGCCACGGCTGCATTTTAAAAAAAATCGCCTGCCAGTGCAGGAGGCAGCAACAGCTCCTGGGTCCCCAGGATCGTCCCCAAATGAGATCTCTGCGGCAAACCATCAGTCAACGCCCCACTGGCGATGATGGAAAGAAATACCCGTCCAGCTCTTGGCAAGGCGCCGTGGCTCCCATTCCTACAGGATAATGGGAAATACGGATGCAGAAGGGCCCAGCTATGGGGGTGTGTGGAGCCAGCTGGTCCACGGGGGACCAGAACAGGGGTAGGAGGGGGGGACCCTGGAGGGCCAAGGGACCTGTGGATAGGGAGGTTCCCTGGACCAGGGAAACCAGCTAGGAAACACAGGGCACAGTGCTTATGGTGCCCCGTACAGCAGTCGGCACCTCCCCAAGTGACTAGTCCCAAATTAGTTTAATTAAAGTGTGCGTGCAGGGTGGGGGGGGAGGCGTGGTTAGCCCTTATCCTAGGAAACTTGGACAGGGGTGGGCATCGCAGGGTGAACTGGCCCTTTAAGGGTATTTGGGTTCAGACTTAAAGGGCTGCCTCACCATGCGGCACCCTCCCGCAGGATCCAGCTCTGCCTCCCTGCCCCCTGTTTGTCACAGTGGTACCCCCTGGTGCTGCGGGCACGCTCCCAAAGGAGACGCACCCCTTCCAGGCTCCGCCTTTGGAGACAAAGAAGTCGCTCTGGGGTGCGGAGCGGCGCAGGAAGGGTTAAGTCAATTTGGCTTCATTGAAAGTGCAGGGTCCCTCCTTCGGTGGGGGCTGGGGGGGGGACGACAGGTGATTCCATCCCCCAGAGTCCCGTGCCCCCCCGGCTCTTCTCGGCTGCGGGGCACGGTTCCTTAGGAGGAGCTGGGTCCTTCCATGCCGTTCTCCTCCTGATCCGCCTTGAGCCGGGACAGAACCGCGTGGATCCGGAAGAGCGTCCGGGACTCCATGGAATAGTTCTTGTAGTTGTTCCTAAATTGGGAGGGTGGGGGGGGTAATCACTGGCCACAAATACACCCTGCCCCCCACCCCCACCCCGCCAGGGCCAGAGTCTCTTGATCATACGCACCGGACTCCCCCCACCCCATTCCTGAGCTTCCCGGTGCACTGACCAGTCCTGGGACCAGCTGAACCAGAACCATCCGCTGAGTGGGGGGGGGGGTGCCTCAATTCCCCCCCCCGAGCCCTGTCCCCCCCTAAATCAGCCACACAGACAGTTCCAGCCCCTCTGGCCCCCCAGTGCACCTTAGCACCACAATGCATTCTGCGATACACCCGCTGGGGCTTCTGGGAAGCATTGTGGGGCAGGGGAGCACAGGACAGGCTGACATTGTTGCAACACCCTCCTAGTGTAGACAGGCCCCACCTGGCTCGGCGCAGCAGCGGGATGGCCTCCTCGCTCCGGCCCTGGGCCAGGTGCAGCAGGCCGAGCTCCAGCAGCGTGTTGGGCACCAGGTAGTGATCGTAGCGGATCCGCTTCTCACTGCCAGCGGGAGGGACAGACAGACAGACGGTAATTCACCGGGGAGGGGCTTCCCGGACCAAGACCCGCCCCGGGCAGCAACCTGGGGGCAGGAGTTTGGGGGCAGCACCTGGCCAGGGGCCAGACAGACCCGCAAAAGCATGGTGTCCTCCAGACACCCCCAGGCCCCTAGGAGGGGAATGACACCCCCCCAGCCCACACAGACCCAGGACCCCCCTGATCCCTAGAGGGGGGAATGACCCCCCCACAGACCCAGGACCCCTCTGATACTTAGAGGGGGGAGTGACCCTCCCCACAGACCCAGGACCCCGCTGATCCCTAGAGGGGAGTGACCCCCACACACACAGACCCAGGACCCCGCTGATCCCTAGAGGGGGGAGTGACCCCCCCACAGACCCAGGACCCCTCTGATCCCTAGGGGGGAGTGACCCCCCCATGGAACATGGCACCACCTGTGACCCCCAGAACGCAGTTCCTTGCCCGGGCAATGCCCATGTGCTGGGGGGGGGGCATTATCCCATTGGGAAAGCCCATCAGTGGGGTAACCCCAAGATCAGCAAACTGGGGGGGGAGGAGGGGCCAAGAACCAGCAGGACCCTCCCTCCGTCACGTCCGCAGTGGGTCAGGAGCCAGAGCCCGCCCAGGATGGGGACTCCCCCCGCCGCAGATGCCCTGGGCGGCGGGAGCCAGGCGGAGTCTCCCAGCAGGGGGCGCTCACCTGCCCAGCACGGCGCTGAAGCAGGCCTCCGCCTCGGCTGGGCTCCGCCGGTGCCTCATGCAGAGCCCCTTCAGCAGCAGCAGGAGGCACCGGTCGTCCGTCTGGAACTCGCCGGCTGTGGGCAGAGTTGGGGCGTCAAGGGGGGGCCCCGGGGCCCAGCTCCTCTGGGCATCCCCGCGGGGAAGGGGGGGGTGGCAGGGAGAGCCCCCACCCCAGTGTGCCAGCCCCCCCACAGCCCCCAACCCGGTGTACCCCCCCTCAGCCCCCCAGCTGTGTCTTCTACCCACCCCCCACTGGCTCTGGGCAGAGATGGGGGGGGCTCAGTCTCTCCACTGGGGCTGAGACCCAACAAACACGATGCAGCCACACGCGTGTTCTTCGTTCCCACCCTGGGGCCGGATGGGAGCTGGCGCCCCCCGGAGGGGAAAGGCCCCGTGTCCCATTCCCGCCCCCCTCCCCCAAAGCCAGCCGGTGCCCCACCCTGAGGCCAAATGGGAGCTGGCAGCCCCCGGAGGGGAAAGGCCCCGTGTCCCATTCCCCCCCCCCCCCCCCCAAAGCCAGCCGGTGCCCCACCCTGAGGCCAAATGGGAGCTGGCAGCCCCCGGAGGGGAAAGGCCTCACATCCTGTTACCTGGCGACTCCTGCAGCTTCTTCTCAGCCTGCATCAGCGTCTCCAGAGTCCCCTCCAGCAGCTCCCGCTGCTTGCCCAGCACGGTGAAGCCATTCCACATGTACATCATCTCCTGGGGAGGGACGGGGGGGGGTGTCAGGGCAACAGCCCGGGCTGCTCACCCTGCAGAGGAGGATCTGGACCCCCAGGACAGCCCCCACATCCCGCTGGACATTAACCAGCCTGTCCTAGGTTCCCTCCCAGTTCCCCCATTCCCCCCTCGTCCTGAGCAGGTTATAGCCGCTTTGCACTCAGAGCCAATGGGAAGTGGGGAAACTGAGGCACAGAGAGGGACACAACCTGTCCAAGGTCATGTGACAAAGATGGGAAATGGGACCCAGCATTCCCGACTCCCAGCCCCTAGGTTCTAACCACCAGACCCCGCTCCCCTCTCCAAGCCAGGGAGAGAACCCAGGCGTCCTGACTCCTAGCCCCTCCCATTCTCCAGCACGGCAAATCCTGGGTGATGGCACCAGTTGAGTCATGGCTTTTCCAAGCAGCATCCAGCACAATTTTCCCCCTCGAACCCTCTCCCCACACTCCCTTCCCCCTCACCAGGGCTGGCACCGGTACAGGGACCGGGCGGCTGCCCTTATAGCGCCGGGCTTTCCGGATGGCAAACTTCTCCGTGGGGGGAGACTTGCCCGCGATCTTCTGCTTAAAAGATGACACCTGCCTGGAGGGGAAGAGAGACAGCTGGGTTGCGATCTGGGGGGGGGGGGCGGCACTGGGGGTCCCCTGGACCCAGAATTGGGTTCCAGAATCTTCACTGGCATTGAAAGCAAAGGTCCCGGTTCTAGCCGACCCGTTTGCCAAAAGGCAGCCCAGCAACGTATGCCTGAGTCTGCAGGCAGCCTGAAACGATGGCTCAGAGAGTGCCTGGTTCAGCTCCCATCCTGTTAACTCTTGAACCTAATGCTTGCACACAGGCATCGGCAATACACATACGTGGCAGATTAAACTATGACGAGAGCAAAAACTGGGTCAAACTGGTACCGGGCGGATCCAGCCCTCACGCTGAGAATGATCTAATTTAATTTAACACGACCCATGGCATTTAGATCTGCCTGAAGCCGGCACCGTGTTTCCAGCTGAGACTGCAGCATTTAGCTCCATGGAACATGAACCCTCCCAGAGCTGGGGGTAGAATCCAGGAGTCCTGGGTCCCAGCACCCCCCTGCTCTAACCACTAGACCCCACTTCCCTCCCAGAGCCAGGGAGAGAACCCAGGAGTCCTATCTTATGCCCATGTCTGTCCTGTCTCTAGGTAGCCCCTGCCATTCCCCTACACACCCCAGCTTTGCAGCTGGGATAGGAGGGGAAAGGAAGTGATAAGATTTGGGGGGGGCCCTGAGCCAGCCAATGCCCAGGGCTGGATGCAGGACGGAGCCAAGCAGGCAGGTAGGGAGGGAATGACCAGTGCCATACGTTAAGCTGAGGAGCAGAAAGGGGGGGACGCAACTTCCCATCTGGGGGTCAGTGTTAGTGGGCAAGTGACTGGGGGTTGGGACACACACAGCCCTGCCAATGCCCCTCACTCCCAACCCACAGCCCCTGCTCTCCCAGCCCTGGGCTCCCCACCCAGCTCTGCCGGTGCCCCTCACTCCCGACCTGCAGCCCCCCCTCCCAAAAGAAACTCATGTTCCTTGTGCTGCAAGGCCTGAACCCAGATCTCCCGGTGCCCCTCCTGCCCAACCCCCATGTTTGGCACCAAACCCTCCTGTTCCCCCAGCACCAGCATCGCCCATGGCCCCTACCTGAACAGCTGCACCTCGCTCTCCCCGAAGGGCCGGGGCTCCTCGGGGGGCAGCATGCTGAGGAAGGCGGCTTTCATATACACATACATGGCCTGCAGAAAGACACCGGCCTGACCCATCAGCCCCACGCACACGGCTGGGGGCGGGGGGCTCAGACCCCCAACAGGCCCAGGACGGGCCGAGAACTAGCAGCCACAGACCAGACAGCCAGGCCATCCGGCCTGGTTAGGTCTCCAACTCTGGACACCTATGGGAGACCCTATAGAAAACCTCCGGCTGCTGCCGTGAGCTGGAGTGGGGCGGGGACTCAGCAGGGGGCGCTCTCCCCCACAGTCAGTGCTGGCCCCAATGCCCCAGGGCGGCACTAGGGGGCGCCGTGCTGCAGGGAGCAGGGGACTCAGCAGGGGGCGCTCTCCCGCACAGTCAGTGCTGGCCCCAATGCCCCAGGGTGGCACTAGGGGGCACTGTGCTGCAGGGAGCAGGGGACTCAGCAGGGGGCGCTCTCCCGCACAGTCAGTGCTGGCCCCAATGCCCCAGGGCGGCACTAGGGGGCGCCGTGCTGCAGGGAGCAGGGGACTCAGCAGGGGGTGCTCTCCCCCACGGTCAGTGCTGGCCCCAATGCCCCAGGGCGGCACTAGGGGGCGCCGTGCTGCAGGGAGCAGGGGCTCAGCAGGGGGCGCTCTCCCCTGCAGTCAGTGCTGGCCCCAATGCCCCAGAGCGGCACTAGGGGGCGCTGTGCTGCAGGGAGCAGGGGACTCAGCAGGGGACACTCTCCCGCACAGTCAGTGCTGGCCCCAATGCCCCAGGGCGGCACTAGGGGGCGCCGTGCTGCAGGGAGCAGGGGCTCAGCAGGGGGCGCTCTCCCCCACAGTCAATGCTGGCCCCAATGCCCCAGGGTGGCACTAGGGGGCACTGTGCTGAAGGGAGCAGGGACTCAGCAGGGGACGCTCTCCCACACAGTCAGTGCTGGCCCCAATGCCCCAGGGCGGCACTAGGGGGCGCCGTGCTGCAGGGAGCAGGGGCTCAGCAGGGGGCGCTCTCCCCCACAGTCAGTGCTGGCCCCAATGCCCCAGGGTGGCACTAGGGGGCGCCGTGCTGCAGGGAGCAGGGGACTCAGCAGGGGGCGCTCTCCCCCACAGTCAGTGCTGGCCCCAATGTCCCAGGGCGGCACTAGGGGGCGCTGTGCTGCAGGGAGCAGGGGACTCAGCAGGGGGCGCTCTCCCGCACAGTCAGTGCTGGCCCAAATGCCCCAGAGCGGCACTAGGGGGCGCCGTGCTGCAGGGAGCAGGGGACTCAGCAGGGGGCGCTCTCCCGCACAGTCAGTGCTGGCCCAAATGCCCCAGAGCGGCACTAGGGGGCGCCGTGCTGCAGGGAGCAGGGGCTCAGCAGGGGGCGCTCTCCCGCACAGTCAGTGCTGGCCCCAATGCCCCAGGGCGGCACTAGGGGGCGCCGTGCTGCAGGGAGCAGGGGGCTCAGCAGGGGGCGCTCTCCCGCACAGTCAGTGCTGGCCCCAATGCCCCAGGGCGGCACTAGGGGGCGCCGTGCTGCAGGGAGCAGGGGCTCAGCAGGGGGCGCTCTCCCCCACAGTCAGTGCTGGCCCAAATGCCCCAGGGCGGCACTAGGGGGCGCTGTGCTGCAGGGAGCAGGGGACTCAGCAGGGGGCGCTCTCCCGCACAGTCAGTGCTGGCCCCAATGCCCCAGGGTGGCACTAGGGGGCGCCGTGCTGCAGGGAGCAGGGGACTCAGCAGGGGGCGCTCTCCCCCACGGTCAGTGCTGGCCCCAATGCCCAAGGGCGGCACTAGGGGGCGCCGTGCTGCAGGGAGCAGGGGACTCAGCAGGGGGCGCTCTCCCCCACGGTCAGTGCTGGCCCCAATGCCCCAGGGCGGCACTAGGGGGCGCCGTGCTGCAGGGAGCAGGGGACTCAGCAGGGGGCGCTCTCCCGCACAGTCAGTGCTGGCCCCAATGCCCCAGGGTGGCACTAGGGGGCGCCGTGCTGCAGGGAGCAGGGGCTCAGCAGGGGGCGCTCTCCCCCGCAGTCAGTGCTGGCCCCAATGCCCCAGGGCGGCTCTAGGGGGCGCCGTGCTGCAGGGAGCAGGGGACTCAGCAGGGGGCGCTCTCCCCCGCAGTCAGTGCTGGCCCCAATGCCCCAGGGCGGCACTAGGGGGCGCCGTGCTGCAGGGAGCAGGGGACTCAGCAGGGGGCGCTCTCCCCCGCAGTCAGTGCTGGCCCCAATGCCCCAGGGCGGCACTAGGGGGCGCTGTGTGAAGCACTGACAGACCCTCCCCAATAAACCCTTTAGTCCCTGGAGAGGGCACGGCCCCACCCATAACCCCTCACCTTGGACCAGCGGTTCTCCTTGCTCAGCAGGTCGGCGTAGAAATAGGCCATTTTCCACATGCCCTTGTAGGCGAAACACCACATCAGCTCCCAGTAGCACATGTGGTGGAACTGCTTCCAGGCCTGCTGCGCCGAGCAGCCCGCCTCGAACCTGCAGATGGCCTGTGCAGAGAGGTCAAGAGCCTCGTGAATGGGCACGGGGGCCTTCCCCTCTAGGGGGCGCCGGCTCTGATCCGGCCCTGGAGGGATGGGGGGACTGGCTGGGTCCAGGGGGGTGGGGAATGGGACATGGGGCCTTCCCCTCTAGGGGGCGCTGGCTCTGATCCGGCCCTGGAGGGATGGGGGGACTGGCTGGCTCCAGGGGGTGGGGAATGGGACATGGGGCCTTCCCCCTCTAGGGGGCGCTGGCTCTGATCCGGCCCTGGAGGGATGGGGGGACTGGCTGGCTCCAGGGGGGTGGGGAATGGGACATGGGGCCTTCCCCCTCTAGGGGGCGCTGGCTCTGATCCGGCCCCAAGGGGATGGGGGGACTGGCTGGCTCCAGGGGGGTGGGGAATGGGACATGGGGCCTTCCCCCTCTAGGGGGCGCCGGTTCTGATCCGGCCCCAGGGAGATGGGGGGACTGGCTGGCTCCAGGGGGGTGGGGAATGGGTCACGGGGCCTTCCCCCTCTAGGGGGACGCCGGCTCCGATCCGGCCCCAAGGGGATGGGGGGACTGGCTGGCTCCAGGGGGGTGGGGAATGGGTCACGAGGCCTTCCCCCTCTAGGGGGACGCCGGCTCCGATCCGACCCCAGGCCAGGGGACTGGTTGGTTCAGGAGCATCCCCCATCGCAGACCCTGGCTCTGTGAGGGGGTCCCCCAGGCGAGGGGTCTCTTACCTCACTGATGTTCCCTTTGATCTCCTCTATCCTGCCAGCGAAGAAGAGGAAGATGGCGCTCTGCAGAGGGGAGAGAAGGGAGCCGATGGGTGGGGGGCAGGGTCCCTGTGGAAGGGCAAAGCGTAGGGGATGCCGGGATCACCCATGAAGCAAGTTGGGGGGGGTCTCAGCCCAGTTCTTTCCACTCCCTAGTTTTAGCCGGGGCAGCAAAACCCGTCAGGAGGTCAGACCATGGGGCAGCCCCAATTCTCCCCAGTGAGGACAGATCCCCCCCGGACCCTCCCACCCCGCAGGTGGAAGGGCCCCACCGGCCGGTCCCGTACCTTGGGGTAGCGAATGAGGTAGGGTCTTAGCAGGCTCTCAGCTTCCGTAAAATCGTCCTCCCCGATCCCTGCAAGGGTGCAAGGAGGGGTCAGCCTGGGGCGAAGCCACTGCTCCCAGTTCTGAGAGAGATCGGGGACCCCCTGAATGGGAATGGGGGGCCCGGATCAGAGCTGGCACCCCCTGGGGGGAAAGGCCCCATGTCCCGTCCCCTGCCCCCCGAGCCAGCCGGCCCCTGGCCTGGGGTCAGATCAGAGTTTGCACCCCCTAGGGGGGAGGCCCCATGTCCTGCCCCCCTGAGCCAGCTGGCCCCTGGCCTGGGGTCAGATCAGAGTTTGCACCCCCTGGGGGGAGGCCCCATCCCCTGCCCCCCTGAGCCAGCCGGCCCCTGGCCTGGGGCCGGATCAGAGCTGGCACCCGCTGGGGGGAGGCCCCGTCCCCCGCCCCCCGCCGGCTGCAGTCCTACCCAGGATGAAGGTGAGGAAGGTGTAATAGCAGAGGAGCAGCATGGTGCAGAGCAGGGCCCGCAGGTTCAGGGTGGTCGCACCCTCGTGCAGCTGCTGCAGCCCGTACTCCTGCGCAGAGAGACACAGCAGAGGGGGGGGCCATTGGGCGCTTTCACCCTTCCAGAGTCCCAACGCGCTGCCTGATGCGGCCACCTCTGGGGCAGCGCGGCCGGCCACTGCCACACACAACGGCAGGGTGAGGCGCCCTCTGGTGGCAGCTGCAGCCCACCAGGCCAGGAAGAGCTGGGGGTGGGGGGAGGGACAGATGTTCGCCCCCCCGCCCCCAACCACAGCCCTGAGAGCTGGGGGTGCGGGACTCAGCCCACAGCTCAATGACTCCCTCTGGCTGATGGGGCCCTGGCTGCAATGGGGGTGGGGGTGGGGATGGAGGGAAGGCCCATACCCCAATTCCTCCCCTACCTCAGACACACCCCAGCTAGCCCCCCAGACCCTCTCCCCTTGCGGGACCCCCCACAGAACCCCCCTTCTCAGCAGTGACCCAGGGAACCCCCATCGCGGGGACCTGCAGACTGTGCGGGGGATGACGGGAGGCCCAGGCAGGGGGTTACCTTGTCCCCCGAAAACCCAGCAAATTCCAGCAGCTTCAGGATCCGCGGAGGGAAGAGAGAGAGAGTCTGGGGAGAGAAGAGAGGAATGAAAGGCCCCGTGTCCCGTTCCCGTCAGCCAGTCCCCTGCCCTGGGGCCGGGCCGGAGCCGGTGCCCCCTCGAGGGGAAAGGCCCCGTGTCCCATTCCCCACCCCCCCCCTTCCTAGTAATTTACCAGATTAAAGGCGCCGATGCCCAGTGCCACCCCTCCCTCCAAGTGTACGTGGGCAGGGCCTGCTGTACAGTGACTGGACTGGATGAAACTGCTCAGTTCCCTGGAAAAGAAACAGGAGAGTCAGAGAGTGCTAACCACTAGCCCCCACGCCTCTCCCGGAGCTGGGGATAGAACCCAGGAGTCCTGGCGCCCAGCTCTAACCACTAGCCCCCACTCCCCTCCCAGAGCTGGGGATAGAACCCAGGAGTCCTGGCACCCAGCTCTAACCACTAGCCCCCACTCCCCTCCCGGAGCCGGGGATAGAACCCAGGAGTCCTGGCGCCCAGCCCCCTGCTCACACCAGTACACCACATTGAGTGCCCCAGGAGAACCATCACATTTCCCACCTTCACAGTAAAAGAGTCCTTCTGAGGCTGAGGGCCCCGTCTGGGACCCCTCCTCCCCCGCTGGCCCCAAGGCAGCAGCCTGAAGAGGGGCCCCCTCCCCCAGAACCACCGCTGTGACATCACTCACCTGTAGATAAGGTAGCTGCTCCGCACCTTGATCCCCCCCTTGATGAAATTCACCATGTTCTCATCCTGCAGGGAGAAGGGGGGAAATGAGCAAACCCTGATGGAAGGGATCCCTCGCCCGGTGCTGAGATGCAGCCACCTCTGGGGTGGGGAATGGAGGTTGTTTATAGAGGGACCCCTCACCCGGCACTGAGATGCAGCCATCTCTGCAGTGGGATGCAGGGGTTGTTTATCCAGGAACCCCTCACCTGGCGCTGAGATGCAGCCACCTCTGGGGTGGGGTGCCACACAGCAACGTTGTCTCACAATGAGACAGGAAATGAAAGCGAATCCTTGAAAGTGACCTGGAGAGTGACCCACAGCACCCCCGAGTGGCCCATTGGGGCCAGCACTGACTGCGAGGGGAGAGTGTCCCCCACTGAGCCCCCACCCTGCTCCCTGCAGCACCGGGGATTTAGCTCACAACCCAGGTGTCCTGGCCCCCTGGCGCTGTGCGAGCCACATGGAGTGGGATCCGGTACCTGCAGGAAGGTCAGGGCTGCCCGCTGCAGTAGACACTCTGCGTAGCAGACCTCGGCGTGCAGCTCCACTGTGAGGGAGAGCGACAGGGACTTGGAGGGGGGGGGCATGCTCATCCCTAAGCCCCGACCCCCCCTCCAGCAACACCGCCATCGCAGCCTACCCACGGAGCTGGGGATAGAACCCAGGAGTCCTGGCTCCCAGCCCCCTGCTCTGACCACCAGACCCCACTCCCCTTCCCAGAGCCAGGGGTAGAACCCAGGAGTCCTGGCTCCCAGCCCCCTGCTCTGACCACCAGACCCCACTCCCCTTCCCAGAGCCAGGGGTAGAACCCAGGAGTCCTGGCTCCCAGCCCCCTGCTCTGACCACCAGGCCCCACTCCCCTTCCCAGAGCCAGGGATAGAACCCAGGAGTCCTGGCTCCCAGCCCCCTGCTCTGACCCACCCTCCGACACCCTGCGGCCATGCTCTGCATCTCTTACCCTCGGTGAATGAATCCGCCTTGCTGACCAGGCCGGTGAGGGAGCCAGTCACGCTGGATTTCCTCCGAAACCTGGGGGTGGGAGGAAGATGGCTGGGGTGGGGCAGCTACCTTGCCCCTCCCGCATCTCCCCCTACAGGCCTCCCCAGCCCTACCCGACCCACAGGGTCAGTAACTGCTGAGAGGGGGGGGATTTTCCCCAGCGAGGAGCCTGTAACTGGAAGGGTTCCCCCATCTTTGCCCCACGGCCTCCCAGGCCCCAGCTCCCCAGAGGGGTTAGGCTCTTACTCCCCCAAGCCCTGGGAAACTCCCCCTCTGCTGGGCAGCGGGTCTATGACACACGACGGGCAGGTCCGTTCCACCCGGCAGTGGGACTGGTGCAGAATGACCCCCACGCCTCCTGCCCCAGCCCAGAGACCTCCATGGGGCCAGGCCTGGGGGTCCCATTGCCAGGCCAGCCTCCTGCCCACGCCCTGTCACTCCCCATCCAACCGCCAGCCCCTGTGCGCCCCATCTCCCCCCATGACACACACACCCCATAACCCTCCCTGGGCCTTCCCCAGTCCCTGCTATGCCCCACCCTGATGCCGGAGTCCCATCACCCCTTCCCTGGATGCCCCATCCCCACCTCCCATGTGCCCCCCACCCCCACCTCTGGCAAATCTCCTGGGCCTCCTTCATGGTCTGCCCGGCCTGCACGATGTCATCGTGCTCGAAGGTCATCATGGCCTGCATCTCCAGGATGGTGGCGTAGACCAGGGCGTGGTACATGCTCTCCTTGGTCCTGCCGGGAGCAGGGGGCAGGTGACAGGAGGGAGACTCCCCCAGCCCCCCAGCAACACCCGCCCCAAGGAGCCCCACCATGCCTTAGCTCATGGCCCAGGGTTGGGGGGGTGGGGAGTGTTCTAGGGTAGCATGGCCCCTTGTGCCCACTGGGATGCAGCATTGGGGGTGGGGAGGATCGAAGGAACCCCCCAGGCCAGGGCGAGCTTCCCCGACGTGCACCCTGCAGATGCCGGGAGCCCTCGGCCCACTGAGGAGGATCAGGGCCAGGGACCATGGGCAGCTCCTCCACCCACCTGGGCTGCAGCTTCTCCAGGCTCTTGCTGAACTGGTTGCAAAGGAAGGAGTTCATGGCCTCCATGCACTCGTCTAGGGCGGCCGCCAGGTCAGGCGGGGGCCTGTGGGCGGGGAGCAAAGAGGGGCTGCTTAGAGAGTTAGAGATTCCAAGCGAAGGGACCAGGGGGACCCCCTAGTCTAACCCCCAGAGACCTGCCCTGAGTTACTGCAGGCTGAAAATCGCACCGATCTAGGAAAACATCCCACCCCGGTGTGAAACTAGCCCATGGTGGAGACTCCACCAAGGCCCTGGGTCGGTGGCTCCAGGGGTTATTCACCCTCCCGGTTAAACTCTGTGCCTTCAGCCCTGTCCAGCTTCAGCTTCCATCTCATTTGCTCTGCTCTGCGAGACGGCCGAGCCTGCTGGCAAATGCTGGCTCCCAATGGCTGGGAGCAAGTCGCCCTTCGCCTTCCCTTTGGTACATGAACTAGATCGAGCTCCTGGAGTCTCTGGCAGGTTTTCTGACCCTTTAATCCTCCGCGCGGCTCCTCTCTGACCCCTCCCTGATTTACCAACGTCCTTCCTGAACTGTGCACACAAGTCCAGCAGTGGCCATAAGAACGGCCAGACGGGGTCAGACCAATGGTCCATCCAGGCCAGTGTCCTGTCTGCTGACAGTGGCCGGTGCCAGGCGCTTCAGGGGGAGGGAACAGAACAGGGCAATTGTCAAATGATTCATCCCCTGTCAGTCAATCCCAGCTTCTGGCAAACAGAGGCTAAGGACACCATCCCTGCCCAGCCTAGCTAATAGCCATTGATGGACCTGTCCTCCAGGAACTTCTCTAGCTCTTTTTAAAACTCTGTTCTAGTCTTGGCCTTCACAACATCCTCTGGCAGTGAGTTCCACAGGTCGACTGCATTGTGAGAAGAAATACTTCCTTGTGTTTGTTTAAACCGGCTGCCTGTTAATTTCATTGGGTGACCTCTAGTTCTTTTGTTAGGAGAAGGAGTAAATAACCCGTCTTTATTCACTTTCTCCTCACCCGTCAAGATTTTGTAGACTTCTGTCAGATCCCCCCTTAGCCGTCTCTTTTCCAAGCTGAACAGTCCCCGTCTTATTCATCTCTCCTCATACGCCCCCCAAATGACTTTTGTTGCCCTTTTCTGAACCTTTTCCAATTCTAATACACCCCTTTTGTGATGCGGCGACCAGAACTGCAGGCAGTATTCGAGGTATGGCCGTGCCATGGATTTATATCGTGGCATGGTGATTCTAGAGCCAGACACAGAGGTAAAATCACCTCTCTGCTCCTACTCCAGATTCCCCTGGTTAAGTATCCATGGTTTGCATCAGCCCTTTTGGCCCCAGCGTCGCACTGGGAGCTCGTGTTCAGCTGATTCTCCACCATGACCCCCAAATCTTTGTCAGAGACGCGGTTCCCCAGGGCAGAGCCCCCCAGCCTGTAAGTACGACCTATTCTTCATTCCCAGATGTTTACACCGTCCGAATTAAAATGCAGATTGTTTGCTTGCGCCCGGTTTGCCGAACGATCCAGGTCGCTCCGTATCAGTGACCTGCCCTCGTCATGATTTATCACTCTCCCATTCTTTGTGTCGTCTGCAAACGCTGTCCATGGATGATTTGATGTTTTCTCCCAGCCGTTGATAAAATGTCAGATATCGTAGGGCCAAGACCCGGTCCCTGTGGGACCCCGCTAGAAACACACCTGCCCAACGGTGATTCTCCATTTGCAGTTACATGTCGAGCCCTCTCAGTTAAACCAGTTTATAATCCACTTCACCTGGACCACACTGAACTGGGACCATTCTAGTTTTTGCAATCAGAACGTCGTGCGGTACCAAGTCACGGCAATCTGCTTAGATGATATCACCCTATCGCCTCCAACTACCAAATTTGCAATCTTATTCAAAAATATCACATCACTTTGACAGGAGCTATTTTCCATAAACCCCTATTGATCGGCATTTGTTACATTACCTGCCTTTAATCCTTTATTAATAGCCTCCCATCTCACCAGTATCTTGCCTGGGGCTGATGTCAGACTGACAGGACTGTAATAATGCAGGTCATCCTGTTTACCCTTTTTAAAGACTGGCACACCATTAGCTTTCTTCCAGTCCTTGGGAATGTCCCCACAGTTACAAGGCTTAACTCCTTGGCCAACTCTTTTCAAACTCTAGGATGCAAGTGACCTGCCCCAGTGATTGAAACTGTCTAACTTTCACACCTATTGTTTAACATCTGGCTGTTATTTTTGGAATAGAAAATATTTCATCATCATCATAATATGAAAGGATGACATGGCCTGGCTTTCCCCCCAAACACAGAACAGATGTTTATTTATTAGCAAGGGCTGCGGGGTCTGTTGCAGGAAGAGATTGTAGGTAGCATAGAAGCAGGTAAGGGGCTGGTGAGTTGCAAAGGTGGGAGAGCCCAGGGCTGGGCGAGCAGGGGTTGTGGGTCAGAAGTGAGGGGCACCAGCGGAGCTGGGAGGGGGAGCCCAGGGCTGGGCCATCAGGGGATGCAGGTCAGGAGTGAGGGGCAGCAGCAGAGCTGGGGGGGGTGTTTACTCAGCACTTTTCTCTCCCTCTGGCCAGCACCGATCAACCCCCTGCCACCCCAGCTATGAACATGGACTGACTTCCCCCTCCCCCAGCTGCCAACCCCCCCACAGGCCGAGGGCAAGGCCGAGGGGCCCCGCTGCCCCCTCTCCCCATGGCCAGCCTCAGCGCTGTGTTTGCCAAAGGCCGCAGCCAGCGACGCTCAGCTGAACCGGTGCCCGGGAGTGCTGAGCAAACACGGGCTTGGCAGGGCCCTGCCAGCGCATCCACCCCACCTTCACCAAACAGGGCTGGGCCCGGAGGCTCGGCTGGGCCCCCGCCCCCCCCCATCGGCTCCACGCAGGGCTGAGGAAGGGCTTTGGCCAGCAGGTGCCAGGCTGGGCTGGGCACTAGGCTCAGCTGGCTCATGGCCTCACGGGCAGGGCCCCCCCGCCGGGTCTGGGATCCCCCGCCATCTGGAGCACAGCCCTGCTCACCAGCTCCTGGCAAACACGGGGCTGTCGGGCTTTGCCCCCCTCCACCCTGCGTGCCCCGCCCCCTCTGGGCCCCCCAAAACACATGGCTGCACCCCAGGAACCCTGGATATTCCCACAGTGCCCTGGGGGGGAGGCACCTGCGCCGGGGGCCCGATTGGACTCATCCTGAGTGAGGACTGACGGTCCAGGGGGGAGGGGCCCAGCCCCTCTAAACCTTTCCCCCCAATGATCCCCACATCAGCCTGCTCCCCACCCCATCGACCCCTGCCCCCCATCTTCTGTGCTCGACCCCAAGCCCAACCTCCCCTCCCGTAGCTCTGAATCCGGTTGTATATCCCGGCCCCGCCCCGGTCTCCTGGAGCCCCCCGCCCCAGCCTCCCGTCACCCAGCAGGGACCCCCCGGATCCTGACTGGCCGGGGAGCAGGAGAGGATCCCCCCCCGGGCTGACCCAGTGAGGGAAGGGGCTGGGTGCACCCATGTGCCCTGGACCCCCCCAGGGAGCAGGCACGGGGGGGGGGTGACTCTGCATTGAAGGTGCGTTTCTCCAGGGGGGCGGGGGGGGAGCCCGCAGCAGAAAGACCCAGCGGGCCGGGGGGGGGCGGAGCTTTGGGAGGCGGGGGGCTGCAGCGGGGGAGGGGCGCGGGGGGGGAGCAGCCCCGGGCAGAGGGTCCCGCCCCCCTCCAGTCCCGGCTCGGGGGCTCCCCGCCGGGGTCTCTCACCTGCCCGCAGCGGCCGCCAGGGCCATGACGGTCCGGTCTGGTCCGGGAGCAGGAAGCGGCTCTGGAGGAATGTGCGGCCGGGACCCGGCGGGGGCGGGGAGGGAGGCGGCTCCGCCCTGCAGGTGCCGCGACTCACCTGGCCGGGGCCCCCGGGCAGGGATCCGGCCCCCAGGTGCCGCGACTCACCTGGCCGGGGCCCCCGGGCAGGGATCCGGCCCCCAGGTGCAGGGACTCACCTGGCCGGGGCCCCCGGGCAGGGATCCGGCCCCCAGGCGCCGGGACTCACCTGGCCGGGGCCCCCCGGTCGGGGATCCGGCCCCCAGGCGCCGGGACTCACCTGGCCGGGGCCCCCCGGGCAGGGATCCGGCCCCCAGGCGCCGGGACTCACCTGGCCGGGGCCCCCGGGCAGGGATCCGGCCCCCAGGCGCCGGGACTCACCTGGCCGGGGCCCCCCGGGCAGGGATCCGGCCCCCAGGCGCCGGGACTCACCTGGCCGGGGCCCCCCGGGCAGGGATCCGGCCCCCAGGCGCCGGGACTCACCTGGCGGGGACTCACGTCTCATCTGCCAGCCTGAGTTCTGGGCGGGGGCAGAGCCTATCGGCCTTTACACCAATCTGCCCCTTGCTGGGATCACAGACACTTCCAGCCTAACACTTTGGCATCAGTTTGTGTGAGCAGGGCCAGTTACATCAGGGGGCTGGGGCTGGGTCAGGGGGAGCCTTGCTGCTGGGGCCCTGGAGATCTCCCTTCAAGTCCCAACTCCTCCACAGACTCCCTGCATGACCCTGGGCCAGTCTCTCCTCAGCTCTGTGCCTCAGTTTCCCCTCCTTTCCTTTGTCTATTGAGTCTGTGAGCTTTATGGGGCAGGGACAGTTCTCAATGCATCAGTGCAGCGCCTGGTCCAACCCCGGATCTGTTCACGGCCCTGCCTATGGGGGCCCTGGTCCCGCTCAGGGTCTGTGCAGCACCTGGCACAATGGGGGGGCCCAATTTTTGCTGGGGCTCCTTGGTGCTACTGGGGTATAATTAATATATTGCAGATCTGCCCAAGAGCGGAAACTGCTGAAAAACTCTCCAGCCCCCCTGCACAGCAGCAGTCCCGGTCCTGGAGCCAACAGCAGCTCCGGCAGGCTGCAGAGGGACACAGCTGTCCTAGCGTGGCCTTGCATCGACCCCATCTGCTTTGCACAAATGTGGTCAAACCTGCTTTCTGGGCCTGCCCGGTAGCTGCAAGCCCGGCCCTTGGTGAGCGGGGCCCCTCGGGTGCAGCCTGGTGGGCGGGGAACCACCTGGGCTTGGGCTAGTCCATTGTAGTTTAGCCAGGGCCCTCGGCTCACATCACCTGCCTCCAGGCTGCATGAAATGACTCAGCCCTGGAGAAACAGCCCCCAGGGACAACCCAGAGGTGGCTGCATTTCAGCACTGGGCAAGGGATCCCTGCATGAACAGCCCCCGCACCCCACCCAGAAGCAGCTGCGTTAGTAGCCAGTGATGCGATCCAACTATGCTCTTGTACGATGCTTTGAGGGGTGAACGATGCTAGAGAAAACCCTGCAATTAGCCTGTCCCACAGCTCCAGACACAGTAGCCAAGGCCTTGTTCCCACGGGGTTTAGCCTCACGGTAACAGTCTCCAAACTCTCCCGCCCTTGCAGAGCGGAGCCTGGCAACCACGAACACAGCCAGTGAGCCACGCAACCAGCAGCTCCGACAAGGGCTGGGCCCAGCCAGACCCCTTGGCCATGGGGTTCCCAGCTGGCCAGCCGGGAAACGGCCCCTCACCTCGCATGGCTGCTGCCTGGAATCGCTCCAGCGTCCCTGGTGAGCTCCGAGAGGCTACTGGGAGATTGGCCCCGTGTGGCCCTTCGCCCAGGAACACACACACAGGATAAGGCAGGGGGGAGGGGGTCTCAATCAGTGCCAGGTGCCCTGTTCCCACCCTCCGAGGGGGAGGGGCTGGTGGGAATCAGGGTTCTTGCCCCATTCATGGAAAAAGAAGGGCTGAGCCTTTCCTTGCTGACCCCAACCACGAGCTGGAGCCCGGATCTCAGCGGCTGGCCCTGGGGAGCAGCTCCATGCTCCTGTGTGGGAGCCCAGGCCAACCCCCGTCTCCTCCCGGTGCAAGCATGTTTAATCATCCACACTCACTTATTCTGCGCCTTAAAATAGCTCTCCCCTCTGCTCCCCTCGGCCGCTTGTAGCTTCCCCCAGGCACGGGTTGGAAAGAACACGCCGGAGACGGTGGCTTTTAGGAGGTTCTGACCCGTCCTCGTCAGCGAGTGGCGGGGGCAGCTCGTTTATTTCACATTCCATTCATAGCACCCCAAAACCAGTAGGTGTGAAGCACTCAGTCTCGGACAGGGAGAGAGGCCGCCTGGGGGAACTGAAAGCTATGGGGGAAACCTACACCCAGGGCCCAGGCCTGCTTCATTCCCCAGAGCCGGGGGGAGAGGGGGCACCCTGGCCTGGTGTTCCCATCACCCCACTCAGATTGGGCTAGAGCAGAACAGCTCAAGATTGAAACAAATGAAGCCGGACCCCTGAGCTTGACCAGCCAGCCGAAGTGCCTTCCCCTAAGGCTGCTGGGAAATTTAGCGCCCCCCCCAATTCTATTAAATCAGCAGCACGTGGGCTGCGAGGGCTGGTCTATGCTGAAAATTTACATGGACACATCACATCTCGCAGGGGTGTGAAAACTCCCCGCCGCCGAGAGCCAACCCCACTAGACCCAGGGACGAATTCTGCCCCGGCCCAAGCTGCCGCTGCTCCGGGAGGTGGATTAACTCCCGGCGCTGGAGCGAGAGTCTATGCTGAAGAGCTCAAGCAGGGTTTTCAGCAGAGACGCAGCCCGAGACTCCCACACCACCCCAGCATTCGAGGCCAGTTTCCCACGCTACCCCCGCGGCTCCAGAGAGAAACCAACAGGCGCCGGGGCCTGGAAAGCTGCTGCTAAATGAACAGGTGCAACAAAGCCGCCGTGGGGCCGGTGCCAGGCAAGGGGGAGCAGGGCCACCCAGAACAGCAGGGTGCAGTCTGACTGACGAGGCTGGGGTGTGGAGGCCCAATTCTAGAACAACCTCCCCAGTTACACTTTCCCGGCCCCACAAGGTGGGTGGGTAAGAACCACCCTCTTTTGGTTTTACATTTCCATGTAATCCTTCCACCCCAACTCCTCCCCTTTTATGTACTTCATCAAATCTATCCCATCTGCCATCTTCACCCCAAGAGCTCGATTGGGCCCTTGGTTAGCAGGCACAGACCCCGCGGCCAGCTAGGAACATTTTAAGTACAACCACGAAAACAAATCAACCCCAAAACAAACTGCAAATGCTAGGACACTGCTCCTTTAAGATGGAACTGTGGCCAGGAGGCGAGGCCTGGATCTAACCAATGGCCACTTTTCACTTGAGGCAAAGCTAAGAATGTGGGCCTAGCAAACTCTTGTCCCCACCCACTTTGGAACCCATGTTCCCGCCCCCTTAAAATCACACCGGCTTAATTTAGCTGAGCCTCTTTCACAGCTACCCTGCAATATCATGGAGCTTAGGAGCTATTTATGGCTTCAGGATTTACTTTGGAGGCAAATACTCTATTCTCTTTGCAACTGCACAGGCTAGGGAAAGCCAGCCCCAGGTGGGATTTGTATGCAACAGAATGGCCCACAAAAGTCAGGAATTACTTCAACGGGGGGGTCAAGGTTTTGGGGGCATGAGACAGGGAGAGAAATAGGGACGCAGAGACGGGTGTGATGATCCAGAAAAAAACAGCCAAGTTGGCACTAAATTAGCAGGGAGGAGGTGGGACGAGGGTGGATTTTCATCTGATCTTCTCAGAAGTGGGTCAGAGCACAGCGGCTTCCTAAGGGGAGGAGAATTGGATTTTTAAATTACCAGAGCGAAGAGGGTATTTTTTAATGTTGTTTTTAAAATAAGCCCATTGTCCTGGGGATAAAAGTTGCCCTGTTTCAAATAAATAGATTTTAATCTAATAAATCTGTGGTTTTGTAATCCCCCAATGAGGAGAAAAATCAAGGTTAAAAAGACATCCTCGTGTTTAGTTCCCTTAAAACTCCAATAGAATTGGAAACAGGGCTTAAACCCAGCAGAGGAAGGGACTGATTTGCAGCACTTTTCAAAGGGGTAATTTGAAAAAGATCCTTTTAGGGCAGGCAGGGGTTTAATGGCTTTCCATCTCCCTCGGCACAGCACAGGGACCGAGGTCTGAGCAGTAAACACCGCACAAGTGACCCTGTTGAGGGACCTGGCTCCGAGAGTCAAACCCTGTCTTTTCACGGCAGCCCTGGCTCAGCACGGGCTGTTCTAAGGCAGCACCCGCCCCCTGCCTTCCGCAGCAGCGCGGCGGGGAGCTAGCTGAGCAGTTCGTTTCGATGCATGCCTCGCAGGGAGGGCGGGACAAGTGCCAGAACAGCTGGTTCTTAAACACAGGTTGGGCTCACAGGAAGCCAGTTCTCAGTCCTCCTGGATCTGGAGCTAACTGCTAGCAGAGGCGGCTAGTTTAAACCCTGCCTTGTCTAGGAGCAGGGATCTGCGCTCTGCTCAGCACGGATCCAGACTGGCAACATGGTTTAGCCTCCTCTATGCAGGCAAAGCCAACCACTAACACACCAGACTGGGGAGTGGGGTGGGCCAACTGTGATCTGTGTGAGCCATGCAGGTTCGAAGCGGGATAGATAGGGTCCCAAACTGGCTGGTGGCTGGGTCGTGGCAGAAAGCGGGACTGGGGAAGGGAAATTAAAGGAGACCAACACACGGCTAGTGGGTGATGGATGGAAGCAGAGTAGCTCAGCCTTTCCCCAGGGGCTGGTCATCTCAACAGCAAAGCAACCTGCACACAAGTTCTGGGCTGGGCGAGGAGCCCACAGACCCCCTCGACCAGCCCCAAATCCCTTCTCCCCACCCCAGAGCAAGCCCCATGCAGGAGAGGGGTGCAACTGAATTCACCCACGGCCCAGGCGCCGGGGGAGGGGGGCTGGGACTAGGGGCTAGTTCTGCGACTCAGATCCCCAGCTGTCCAGTTCCACGGGGAGCGGGGAAAAGAGCATTTCCTCAAGCCAGAAGGCTGGGCTGGTCGAATCTGGATGTAAGTTTGTCTGATTGGGGGGGGGGGGGGGGAATTGGGGTCTCTCCCATGTACCCCTTAAATAGACAGGAATAGATATAGAGAGAATTTTTTCATATATAAAATTTTTTTTCTTCCTTTTTCCTTGCATCACTCGTCATCGAAGTTCTGACTCAGCAGGAAATTGGCAGCCAGGTTTTCATTCTTCTCACAAGCAAAGTACGCCTGGATGACCAGACTTTCCGGGAATCCTAAGGCCTTTAACTGAGGGGACACAAAGAGAGAAGAGTCAAAAGGATCCTGCCTGGGAACCCTACTCCTCTCTGCCACCCTGTATGTCCCAGCTGCCCTTTGGAAGCGAGCCGCTCCGGAGCAGAGTGCCTGAGCCCACTTGGGATGCTCGAATGCAGGGGTGAAAGAGGGGCTGTGAACCCCTCAGGTTCAGGAGGCTGGGGGAGAACTCCCCCAAGTACAGGCACTGCGGAGGATGGCCGTGCTGTCTTTGAGGACTCCCTTGTGCAGGGGCACAGCACTGCACCCCAGGAGACCTGTGACTTCGACAGGGCTGTTACCTTAAAACCAGCTCTCCCCCCCGCTCCCAGCCCCCGTGCTATCTCCTGGAGGCCTGACAACCTCACCCGTGGTTCCCGCACCGGGAGCTGTAACCTGCCACAGGGCGGGGATGAGGTGCCAGCTGGCAGAGCTGAGCCGAGGTTTGGAGGTGCAGCTAGAAACCGCGGCTGAGTTGTTCTGGAGCACAGAAGAGTGTGCTGGCTGCCGGGAGCTAAGACACAGGATGTGGACCTGAGCCTGAACCTACAGGAGGAGGAAAGAATCCACGGGAACAAATGGTATGGCTAGATTCTTGGTGGGATGCAGCCAGGGAGACCACGCCAGGCTGGGGAAGGCACTGAAAGAACTGGAGGCTCAGGTGATCTTCAGTGGGATTCTACCTGGCCCTAGAAGAGGACAGCGAAGGCGAGAGAAGATGATGATCAACATCTGGCTCAGGCAGTGGTGCTGCCAGGAGGGCTTTGGGATGTTTGACCACTGGGAGGCAGTCACGGGCAGAGGACTGTTCTCCGGGGACAGACGCCACCTGAGTGGGGAGGGCGACAGATGTCTGCGATGGAGGTTGGCACAACCGACTAGAAGAAGAGCTTTAAACTAGGGACTCAGGGCGGGCGTAATCTCCACACCTGACTAACAGTGAGCAGGAGGAAAGTCAAGTACAAGAGGATACGGCAAGGGAGAAAGGACCAACGGAGGGTAGGAGAATGGATGACAAGGTCCCAACGCCACTGACAGTAACGTTGGGAAGGGGATACTGCAGTAGAACGACCGTCCCTTATTGGGTGAGGAACGTGGGTGAAGCTGAGCAGATAACGAAGACGTCTGTCCAGCGACGCGTGGTGCTTGGGGAACAATGTGGAGGGACAGGAAGTGAAAGCCGAGACCATCGGGAGAAGAGAACTGGTGAGTGGAGCACAAGCACTGAAGGGAACGTGCCGTGCAGGGGACAGACGTAAAGGTAAAGCGGGGCGGTGCAGCACTGGATGTTAATGATGAGGAAGAGTGGAAAGAAACGAGAAGTGACGGAATGGATAAAACGGAACCTATCTGGGTCACAACCACTTTGGGGAAGAAAGCTTAGAGAGGCTCCGCTGGGATGGTGCTTGGGGTCTGCTATGGACCCTCAGGATCTGGAGAGAGACCTCTAATGAACTCAACATGACTCCTGTAATCCCAATTCCCAGACTTTAATTTCCCAGACTAATTGGGGGACAAGCGCTCCCAATAACGGTAGGGCCCAGGTGTTCCTTGATGGGACAGCTGACAGATTTCTTCACTGAACCATCAAGAGCTGATTTCGTTTTGGTAAGAAGTGAAGGCCTCATAGAAGAGCTGGTTGTAAAGGGACAACCTTGGTTCGAGTGCTCATAAGCTATTCACCGTAAATGGAAGGATAAACAAAGTAGGTCTGAATCTAGAGTCCTGGATTTCAAAAGGGCAACTTAAAAAAAGTGAAGGGAAGCAGTTTGGGAATCGGACTGGCCTGGAGAACTCAAGGATCTGAATGCGGAGGAGGCTTGGCATTATTTTAAGTCAAAGGTGCAGAAATGGTCTGAAGCCTGCATCCCAAGCCCGGGGGGGAAAATCACAGGGAAGGGCTGTACATCAAGCATCTCAACCAGGAGATTGAGAGAGCAGAAAACCTACAAGGAACGGAAGGTGGGATGGATCAGTGAAGAACACTTTCTGACCTCCAAGAGGGAGTGTAGGGGAGAACTGCCAAAAGCCAGGCAGAGCTGGAGCTTGCCAAGGAAATTAAAACCATCAGGAAACGGTTCTTTAGCCACAGAAATAAAAAGAAGTGGGACCGCTAAGCACTGCGGATGGGGAGGAGATTAAAGATAATCTAGGCCTGGCCCAACACCTAAACGAAGGCGGTGTCTCGGTTTTTCATAAGGGTGATGCATTTTTTGGGGGGACAGTGGCAGGGCGGCTGAGGGCACGAGGATACGGCGGTAGAAATGACCATAGCAGAGGTGGAGGCCGAACTCAGTTTAACAGGAGCATGTCGGGGGGCCGGGATAATCTTCATCCAAGAATATTAAAGGAACTGGCATGTAAAATTGCGAGGCCAATAGCAAGGATTTGTAATGAACCTGTAAACTTGAGGGTCGTATCCTGTGACTGTGGAATTGCTAACGCAGTACTTGTATTTAAGGGGGCCAGGGGAACGACAAAGTGATCCAGGAAACTACAGGCCCTTTAGCGTGACCTCAATTGCCTGCAAAGTCTTAGAACAAATTTTGAGAGGAATTAAGGACAGAGGTAAATGATAATTGGGAATAAAGACAACATGGATTTACAAAAGATAGATCTCGACAGACCAGCCTGATCTCGGACTTTGAGAAGAGCTCTGATTTGTTAGACGAAGGAAGTGCAGTAGATCTAGTCTAGCTGGATTTCAGTAAAGCATCTGGTACAGATCCCACATGGGAAATTAGTTCTACTGGAGAAGATGGGGATCAAGCAAAAGGCGGGTAAGGAACTGATTAACGGGAACACTGAAAGGTGAATGGTCAGGCTGGAGGGAGGTTACTAGAGGAGCTGGTCAGGGATCGGTCTAGGGACTAATGTTACTGAACATTTTAAGGTGATGCAGCTGTGTCCTAGGATGCATCAGGCGAGGTATTCCCAGCAGAGACAGGGAAGCATTAGTGCCATTATACAAGGCACTGGTGAGATCTCACCTGGAATACTGGGTGCACTTCCGGGCTCTCACGTGTAAGAAAGATGAATCTGGATTAGAAATGGTGCAGAGAAGAGCAATCCGAGGAATGGAGAACCTACCTTATGAGAGGAGACTCAAAGAGCGTGGCTCGTTCAGCCTAACCACACAAAGGCTGAGGGGGGATCTGATTGCTCTCTATACATCAGAGGGAAAACACCAGGGAGGGAGAGGAGTTATTTAAGGGCCAACATTGGCCCAAGCACAAATGGCTAGAAACTAGCCATCAACAAGTTTAGGCTTGAAATTAGATGAAGGTTTCTAACCATCAGAGGGGGGAAGTTCTGAAGCAGCCTCCCAAGGGGAGCAGTGGGGGGCAAAAAACCCAACTGGCTTCAAGACGGAGCTGATCAGTTTCGGGGGGGATGGGATAGTGAGCCTGCCTACAATGGCATGTGGCTGATCTGTGACTGCTAATAGCAAAGATCTCCAAGGGCCAGTGATCGGACACTAGGTGGGGAGGGCTCTGAGTTACCACAGAGAATTCTTTCCAGACATCTGGCTGGTGGGTCTCACCCACGTGCTCAGGTTCTAACCAATCACCAGGTTTGAGGTTGGGAAGGAATTTTCCCCCAGGTCAGACCGGGCAGAGACCCTGGATGTTTTTTCCCTCTGCAATGTGGGGCCTGGGTCACTTGCAGGTATTCAACTAGAGCAAATAGTGGATTCTCTGTAACTTGAAGTCTTTACATCAAGATTTGAGGCCTTCAGTAACTCAGCCACCCTCTATGGGCCTGTTCCCGGAGGGGGTTTGTGAGGTTCTGTGGTCTGAGATGTGCAGGTCAGCCTAGGTGATCAGGACAGGCCCTTCTGGCCTTAAGGTCAATGAGTCTATGGAGGTCGCCATGAACCCAGCAACGACCCTTTCTGGATCTGACCAGGTGGGAAAGACTCTGAAGACTCCCATATTCACTCTGAAGACTAATGATGTCATTTGGACCCATGTTTCAGCAGAGGTGTCCAGCTCCTCTGGGATGTTGTGGGCGGAGCTTGGCAGCACTGCCCATCTGGGAGGACCACATCCATTTTGGGGGGAGGACCAAATTAATTATGCTCCATTGCTTTGCAAAGTCAGAGATGTCTACTCCCCTCTCCCCACAATGCACCTCTGTCCCGTCTGAATCACCCCCCCCCCCCCCCAGTGTTATCAAGGCTACAACTTGGCCCTTATGTTAATAACTAAACTTGGTTCTTATTCAACCCCCAGCTCCAGGTGCTCAGCATCAGACCAGATAAAGCTTTTGGAGCTGTCAGGGACAGACAGAAACACTCCAGGAGTCCTGGCCTCCAGCTCCTCCCCCCTGGCTCCAACCACTAGACCCCAACTCCCAGCACAGAGCAGGGGATAGAACCCAGAAGTCCTGGCTCCCAACCTCGCCAGCCTCCCCCCCGAGACCCCACTGCACCCTCGTTGGGGCTCTCCAGTGCAGGAATCCTGTGGCATGCCCAGCAGGAAGGATGGCTCCTCGCACAGCCAGCCCCCCTCTTACCCTTTCTATGGCTTCTTTTTCCTGAGGCGTGACCTGGATGTAGTTCATCTGGGGAGATTCCTCTCCGATGGCCCCGATCTCCCCCTCGATGTCAGAGATGTCGGCCATCTCTCCCAGCGGCTCGTTCAGCATCTGGATGAACTGCTCTTGGTGCTGGCTGATTTGCTGGGGAGGGCAATGGGAAGGGGATCAGGGTTAGGGAGAGACGCGCCCCCCCCACCCCCAGAGCAGGACCTTTACAGCCCCTTTTCCCAGCGGGGAAACTTGGGAAAGGGGCAGGGACTTGTTCAAGGTCACAAAGTGACCCACTGGTAGAGCCAGGGTTAGAACCTAGGAGTCCTGGCTCCCCCCTCCACCCCCTGCTCTAACCCATCAGATCCCACTCCCCTCCCAGAGCCAGGCATAGAACCTGCCTCCCTCCACTCTAGACACACTCCCCTCCCAGCACTACTTCCCGGCTCCTCCTCCGTGGCCTCTTTCAGCTCCTGTCCCCCTTTACCTGCAGTAGCTGGGGGTTCTCCTGGCCCAACTGCTGGAGCAGGGCCGGGAGCAGGGCTGGGTTCTGCTGGATCACCTGTCGCATGTTCTGGAACTGGGGCTGGTCTCTCAGGAACTCCAGCGGGTTCTCGCCTGTGGGGAAGGAGTGGGCGGGGTGAAGCCAGTCCATGCCTTGAAGGAGCAGGGCCCACCTGGGCCATGCTGCCACACAGGTGGGGCACTGGTGATCACAGAATATGGGAGGGTATCTAGCCAGCGGGAAGAGGGCCTGGAGCCACTCCCTCCTTCCTGAAGGACCAGTTTGGGTCACCACTGCCACCCCTGGATGCATGCTTTCAGTGGCCTTCCATAGCCCATGCTCCACAGGAGCAAGAGCCTTCTCCCACGCAGCTCCAGCCCCTGGCCTGGCCGCCCTGGGTCTCCCCCCCTCCCACCACGGTCCCTAAGTATCGCATAGGTGTGGGAGGACCATGTCACTGACCTTCTGGTGCTGGCTGCTCTGTGGGTTGGCTCTCCTGGATCGGGGCTCTCTCCGGCTCGGAGGTGCCTGGGATGCCCTGTGAAGTCAAAGGGGCATCATTAGTGCTGTCCAGTGCCCCTCCCCCCACAACAGCCCCTGCCCCACAGGGCTCACCCCGCAAGGGGCCAGAAAGGAACTCAGTCTCTGGGGTTTGCCTGGCGCCCCATGTCCTGCCAGCGAGGGAGCGAGCTGGCCTCAGGCAATGCGGGCACCCCTGCTCATTCCACACAGGGTCCCAGAGAGCTGGATCAGAACCGGTGACCTTACGGGGTCAGACTCCGTATCCCACTCCTGTAAGCCATCCAGATGTGGATGGAAAAAAAAATCATTTGCCCAAAGTCACAGAGCAAGTCGATGGCAATGAAACCCAGGAGTCCTGGCTCCCACACACCGTTCTAACCACTAGACCTCATTCCTCTCAGAGCTGGGGAGACTCCTGGCTCCCAGCCCTCCCTGCTCTAACCCCCGAAACCCCCTCCCCTCCCCAAGCTGGGATAGAATCCAGGAGTCCTGCCCCGGCGCCCCCTTACCGTCAGCAGGTACTCCACAGCGCGGTGGGGATTGTTGTAGCTGGCCCGGAGTGCAGCCACCACCCGCTCCCGCTCATATCCCATGGACATGATCTCGGTCAGCATCGTCTCGTACTCCGAGCCGGTCACTGCAGGCGAAAGGGGACAACAGCCCGGGCTGAGGCAGAGCCAGCAGTCCTGGGGTGCCCAGCACACGCTCACCAAGGGAAAGGGGGGGAAGGACTGGGTGCTGGCTACGAACATAGCCCTTCCCCCTCCACCAGCATCTCCCAGCAGAGGGGTTCACCCTCCCCTTCCCAGTGTGGGATCACCTCCCCCCTCCACGCCCACTCCCCACAGGGGAAGTGATTCTACCCTAAATCAGGGGCAGAGCTGGGACTAGAACCCAGGAGTCCTGGCTCCCTGCTCCACACCCCACCCTGTCCATGACTAGGGCTCCTGGGCGCTACCGTAATACAGCTAATTAACACCCACCCACCCCTCATGTCCACCTGAGCTGGAGACAGAACCCAGCCCACACATGCTGGGAAAAAGCCCAGGAGTCCTGGCTCCCAGCCCTGTCCCCTAACCACTAGACCCCATTCCCCATGCAGAGCTGGGACAGGAACCCAGAAGTCCTGGCTACCAGCCCCCCAGCCTTCTTTCCCTAACTCGGCCCCTCTGCTAACGAGTGACTGGAGACGGTCACCTTTTATCCTTGGAACAGACACAGCCCAGGCTGCCCCAGAGCAGCTGCCAGCAGAGACTCAACCAACTCATCAAACAGGGCACCGAACAACCCAGGGCTTGGAACCTGCCCTGCACTGAAACCTGAGATCGCCATGAAGGAGGTAGCTCCCAACACCCTGGTCGGGCCACCAGCCCACCCCCACACCTCCCAGACAGAGGGGCAACACTGCGAAGGGGGGTCCTGCTCCTGGCACCCATACACCAGCATCGGGAAGAGGGGGTTGTTTTATCCAGCGACAGCCACAAGAGGGCGCCCCCGCCCAACGAGCTCATGCTGCAGGAGCCAGCTGCAGTGTCTGCCCCTTGGGAGCCACGGAGCAGCCAGCCCGGGGTGCTGGCAGGAGCTCTCTGCTGTCACCCAGGGACCCCGGCTGCCTGCCCCAGCCCCAGCAAGGGGATTTCACCTACCCAGGGTGGAAGCCGCGTCGTCTGGGCGCCCCACGCTACCTGAAGAGGGAACAGAGCTGCAAATTTAAAAGAGAGGAATAGTAGCTGGCTCCTTCCAAACAGCCGGGCAACAAGCAAACCACCAGGGGCCAACACTGCGCTGGGGCAGCCAGGCCGGGCTCCCTGAGCCGGGAGGAACCACAGGGCGGGATGCAGCGAAGGTCCCTTCTCTCTGTGATCTGACCCCCAGGCCCTGCCTGCGCTAGGAAAGCAGCGTGGTTCTGAATGTTACCGAGTGTGTTCGAAATCCCATGGACACAGTTTGGTGCCTCTGGAGTTTGCGAGCGGGTCCCCACTCTGCCTTTCTTGGCTTGAGTGCACTCTGTGTTTGTGCAGCACCTGGCACAGCGGGGTCTTGGCACACGGCCCGGGCGAGACCATAATACTACTAATAGCCGCTAGCCACTCTTAGGATCCCAGGTCTCAGATTGTGGCTATGGCAGAAAATTCCTCTGGTTTCAAGTTCAGCTGGATTTTTTGTTTTCAGACAGTGCACACCCCAGGGTGGAGGCCTTTATGCCCTGCTGGGTGACCCCGGGCAAGTCATGCGTCCTGCCACAGTTTCCCCATCTGTAAAATGGGATAATGTTCCTGACCAAGTGCTTTGAGATCTACTGAGGAATTATTATGGTTTCAGCTCGGGTGACACTGTTCCCAGCGGGTTGAAGCTAATCCACCAGACCCAGCTCTGACAGCGGAATCAGGGTCCATCCTGGGGTAACAATGTCCAAATACTGGTGACCTCACAGCTGAATTTTTGGAAGCCTGCCTGATCCTGCTTGGAGCGCTCAGCAGCTGACCTCCCAGCGAGCTGCCACATGCTGGCTCTCCCTCTCCTTGCTGCTGACCCCCTTGCAAGGACACACCTGAGGGGCGGGATAGCTCAGTGGTTTGAGCATTGGCCTGCTAAACCCAGGGTTGTGAGTTCAATCCTTGAGGGGGCCATTTAGGAATCTGGGGCAAAAACTGGGGATTGGCCCTGCTTTGAGCAGGCGGTTGGACTAGATGACCTCCTGAGGTCCATTCCAACCCTGATATTCTATGATTCTATCACCATCCGCTGCCACGTTAACCTTCTTGGGGCTAGGCCTGGCGGGACCCAAGCCCACAAGTTTGCACCGGCTGCTGTCTGACAACAGGGGCATCTTCTCGCCAACACTATTTCGAACAAAGGCTCGTCTTTTCTGCCCAGGAGACAAGCAGGGTCTTCGCCACATCTCAAAGGGCGCCAGGTCACTAACTGAAACTAAACAGATTTTCAATCCACCCTGAAATCAAACCAGTCCCGCTGCTCATGGGGATGGGCTCATTCTGTGCTTCACAGGCAAGCTCGGTGCACCCCCCACCCTCTTTCTGTCCCCACAGCCCAGGGGATGCGATGTGCGTACAGAGACAGCCGTTCACCGGCAAGGATCCTGAAGCATGCTGCAGTCTGTGTGTGAGGGACCACTGCAGTGTAGCCACCTCTGGGGTGAAAGGTGGCAGCTGCTTAACAGCCACATGGCAACATTACGCTTAACCCACCCCCCCCACCCCAAAAAACACAGGGAGGTAGGTATCACTGCACAGATGGGGAAACTGAGGCACAGAGATGCAAAGTGACTTAGCCAGTCATACAGTGAATCTGTGGAAGGGCTGGGAATAGGACCCAGGAGTCCTGACTCCCAGCCCCTTTGCTCTAACCACTAGACCCCACTCTTCCAAGTTAAAGATGTTCCAGGTTCCCACAAAGGAAGGTCAAGCCCGCACCCTGAAGTGCTACTGGACACAAACAGGCAGGCGCGGGGCGGGGGCACGTGTTCTCAGGGCTTACCCGGCAGTGGATTCGGGCAGCGTGACAACAGCCGGCTCCTCCGGAGGCTTCTCCTCGCTCGGCGCCACAGGCACTGGGGGCAGGACAGCATCGGCACCGGCCGCAGGCGCCGGCGTCTGCCCCACCGACGGGGCTGGCTCCGGGACACTGGCCGGCCCAGCGTCGCCAGGGGAGGGGGCTGGGACGCCCGAGTTGGATTTGGTCTGAGGAAACAAGCAGCGTTGAAGGGTGCGGCTGGGGTCTCTGTCCCCTGCTCCCCAGCCACACGCAAGGCGATCAGCTCCCAACCCCCGGGCGGGGAAGCAGCTGCGGTGAAGGGGGGCAGGAAGGAACTCCCCTTCGGCACTGGCTGACTGCGTGTGTTATACAATCAGCACTAACTGTGAGAGGAGAGCGCCCCCTAGCAAGCCCCCCTTCCCTGCTCCCCGCAGCACAGCACCCCCTAGTGCCACGCTGGGGGCAGCGTCAACGGCGAGGGGAGAGCGCCCCCTACTGAGTGGGTGTGAAAAGCAAGCCCATCTTGATGCTGCCTTCCTTCTGCAGCATCCCAGCCAGGGGCAGCTCCTACCTCTGGCCCAGCAGCCCAGCCGCAAGTGGGAGCAGGGCCCGGCCGTACCTTGGTCACCATGACCACCACGAAGTTCTTCTCATCGATCTTGTACTCCTTGATGGCGACATCGTCGCTCAGGATCTTGCCAGCGTAGATCAGCTTCTGGCCTGACACGGGGAAAGCCTCCTTGCCTTTCTCGGCCTCAATCTTCTCCTTGAGGACCCGCACCTGCCAGGCAGGACGAGACGGCCCCGTCAGCTGGGTATGCAGACCCCTGCGTGGCCGGGAGAGGGACAACTCTCCTTCCCCACCCTGCTCCCGGCCCCAGCAGCAATATTAGGCGGGAGGATTAAGGAGGTGACAGGTCAGTTTGGTTTGTTCCCGCCCTGGTTCTCTACATCCTAGTCTGGTCCTGCAGGAAAGGCCCTGACCTGGGACTCAGGAAATCTGGATCTGCCGCCAACTCCCTGGGTGTCCCGGGGCAACTCTCTGGCTCTGAGCTGCCAACCTGTTGCCCAGATGCTGCACCCGAGTCCCACCCTGCGTTTACCCTCGTTGTGATGGTGACAGCCTCATTGTGTGTGGGCAGCGCCCGGCCCGATGGGACTTGATCTTGGCTGAAGCCTCTAGATAACCCCTAGGTAACCCCATAGCTGCTTAGACTGAAAGCTCTCTGGGGCAGGGACCATCTCTGTTGTATATTTGTACAGCGCCCAGCACAGAGGGGTCCTGGCCACCACCGTAATACAACTAAGTAATACCTGAAAGACACCAGATGCGCTCTCTGGGGCAGGTCACTGGATGTCTTGGGCTCACATCTGCCCATTGCCGAGCAGCATCTCCGACTCTCCCCCGGCTGCCAGGATTGCCCAGAGCTCCATTCACAGCTGAATGGTGCCAACCAAGCCAGGGAGGTGCATGCGCAGACTCGGGACCCCCCCCAGCACCCCTCTGCCCTGCTCATGGCGTTTCAGGGGGACATGCTTTGCTTGTGATGGAAGCAGCTTCCCCGCAGGGCCAGGGCCAGGGCCAGGCCGGATTACAGAACCCAGCAGTAGCTTTCGGAACAGGAGGCCGAGGCACTGGGGAACTGGGACAGCTGCTGCTGCAGCTAACGCAAGCCGGAGGCTCCTTCTTGGGGGCACCTAAGGGCTCAGGGGGATCCACGCTGGACACTCGGGGGCCAAGGACGACTCATCACTAGGAACCAAGCTGTATTTCTACACATTTTAACTAGGGTTCACCCAGGCCAGCCAACACCACACTGTGGCCAGCCCTGACCGTGAGGGGAGAGTGGGCCCTGCTGCACCCCCAGAGCTACTCCCTGCAGCACAGTGCCCCCTACTGCTGCACCAGGGCAGCACTGACTGCGAAGTGCCCCCTGCTGAGCCCCTCCCCCTTGCTCACTGCAGCACAGCGCCCCCTAGTGCCACAATGGGGTCAGCACTGACACACAGGGCAGAAAAGCTTCATCTACACCAAGATTTTCACACGTGTTGAACACACCCATTTCCCTGAGCGTGAACAGAGCCTGACTGTCCCCTAGGAATCACAGTCAGCCACTGGGAAAGTCTCACTGGTCCTGGAAGCGTCTGCATTGGTCTCTGGGTGACTGCAAACCACTCATGCCTTCTCCGCCTCCGTTTCTCCATTGGTAAGACAGAGACATATTTCCTGGTGCTTGAAGACAGGGGGCAGAGCCATGAGGCTCAACCCTTTCGGGTCTGCAAGGCCCTCTGGAAGGATAACTGAGCAACTGCTTCTGCAAGCATGCATCCCATTCCCCCCAGCCCCACACAGCCAAGCAGTGGAGGCTTCGCACCAGACGCTCCCCTGCATCCCGGAGGACAATGGTGTCCCAGAGGGGACCCGTCGGAACAGCTGCAAAGCCCTGTGAGACAAGCGAGTAGGAGCCAAGTGATATTTTTGGCTCCTGGGTTGAGCCAAAACGAAGCCTGACGCTCTGTGAAAAGGATGTGGGACTCCAGCTATTTAAAAAAGGAAGCCACCGCCTCACCCCTCTCCTCCCATGGGCAACGACTGTCTGGCTCAGCATGGCGGCAAAACCGTGTCGCCCGCTACACAAGTTTGGCTGCCTCAGCGGTGGAGAGCGGCAGCTGTTTATACCGAGGTCCCTCGCCCTGCGGGGAGATGCAGCCACCTCTGGGGTGGGCTGTTTATACAGACATGGAACAGTGTAGGGCAGGAACTAAACGCTGCTGAATCCAGTGTCCCACTACTGCGGGAGAGGGGAGCGCGCAGAGCAGGAGTTACCACTTACAAAGCCAGCTAGGGAATTGTAACGGCCAAGCACAGAGCCGGGAAATTCAAGGGTGCAGCCGCCAGAGCCGTGCCAACATAAGTCCTGGCACAGACCCAGCCATTGATGGAGCTAACTCGTTGGGGAGGCAGCAGATAAGGTCTGCGCTGCATCTACAAGGGGCTCAGGGGCGCAGACACAGCCCTAGCTGGGAAGGGATCGGGAGTTACAATCAGACAGGGAGCATTCAAGTCAGTTAAAAACCCAGTCTCTGACCGTGGCCTCCTAAGAGCATTAAAGCCGGCCTCGTGCACGTCACCCAATCCCCTTTTGCCTCTCGGCTCGCCCCATGAGGACAGGCACAGCAGTTTCACTTTGGTTTTTTAATCAGTTCCACTCAGCTTCGTGGGCCCTGCTCCTCAGCCAGCGCTTTCCTTGTTGGCGGCTTGGGCCTGCTTATTGCCAGGGGCTAGTTTGCATTAAAAGACACCAACAATCCTTCCAAGCACGTTATTCATAATCTGGGGAAGGGCCTGCAAGCTCCAGCATAGACTGGGGCTGCACAGTGCCAGGCGCTGCACAGACATGGAGTGAGAGCTCCCGCCCAAAAGAGCTCACAGGCTGAACAGACAAGACATGGGAGGCCCCTCCCATGACACAGGTGAGGAAACTGAGGCCCAGAACAATGAAGGGATGTGCTCAAGGTCAGACCGGCAGTCTGTGGCAGAGTTGGGAACTAACCCCAGATCTTCAGTCCCACCACAAGGGCTTTACTGGCTATAGATGGGAGGGGAGCTGTCCAGCAAACAGTTTCTGTCTTAAAATGTGATCCATGCTGTGAAAAACATTTGAAATCCCTTTGCCCTCATGAGAGGCTGCTCAGCTGCAAAAGTGACAGGGAATATTTCAAACGGTATTAAAAAAAGATTGATGGTAAGATTTGTATTGCTAGGGTTTATTTTTACATGCATCATACACACAACCTAAATTCTAGACCCTGCACCCCCCATAAAGGGCCCCTAAAAATCAGCTCTGCCTAAAGCACAAAGCAATACAGGAGTGCAGGACTCCGCTCCCTGCTAAAACCGAGTCTTGTTCTCAGTCTCAGCTCAGTGTTTAAAAACAGCGGTACGTTTGGAGGGAGAAGAATCCGATTGACAGCGCACTCTACCCATTAGATTGCACTCTTGTCCTACAGCTTGGAACGGAGTCCCATTAGATTGCACTCTTGTCCTACAGCTTGGAACGGAGTCCTGTCTCCCAGCCACCATCCTCCAACCCACTAAGCCCCACTCCCCTCCCAGAACTGGGAACAGAACTCAGCCTCCCTGCTCTAACTACTAGACCCCACACTTTGCTAGAGCTGGGAACAGACAGGAGGAGTCCTGCCTCCCAGCCCACTGCTCCACCCATTCGTCCTTCCCAAGTCATTCAAATTGACCTCACAAAGTGCCTCCCGCATCCAAACACAAGCAGGGGGATTTTCCATCTTCCCCACACTGAGACCACATGTCACAACAGAAAAAAAACAGGGATTGCCCATAAAACCAAAGAAAGGGAGGTGGAGTCACCGCCCCCGAGGGCCTGTTCAGAACCCACAGGCTGAAACTCCAGCCACACGGGACAGCCTCCCCCTCAAGCAAAGCTCCCTTGAAAGCCAAATGACAGCTCCAGGGCAGAGACAAGAACATTCTGGAGATCTGAGACGCCAGTCCTGGTGCTAGCTGTTTAGCTCTGTGCCCCCGCCGCCTCGGAGCGGGATGCTGAGCAGGGTATATTAATAATCCCTAGCTCTCATAAGGTGCTTTTCATCTATCGGTCGCCAAAGGCTTTACAAAGGAGGTCAGTATGACTCTCCCCATGTTACAGATGGGGAAACTGAGGCTCAAGAGGAGAAATTACTCGTGCCAGGTCACCCTCCGAACCAGTGGCAGAGCTGGGAACTGAACCCAGGTCTCTGGAGTCCCAGTCCAATGCTCTAACCACTCGACTGTATGAGCCCGACAAGATAGGGGATTTGGTTCCTTCAGAGGATGCCAGTCAGCTTTGACACGAGTCACATGAACACGGATCACGACGGCGTTAAGGTCTCACCTCTAACACCTCAAGGGCGTCTGGTTTCAGAGTAGCAGCCGTGTTAGTCTGTATTTGCAAAAAGAAAAGGAGGACTTGTGGCACCTTAGAGACTAATTAATTTATCTGAGCATGAGCTTTCGTGAGCTACAGCTCACTTCATCGGATGCAACATTGATGAAGTGAGCTGTAGCTCATGAAAGCTTATGCTCAAATAAATTGGTTAGTCTCTAAGGTGCCACAAGTCCTCCTTTTCTTTTCAAGGGTGTCTGTGACCCAGAGGAGGCCTCTTACGGGACACGGAAAGAGAGACAGACGCAAGGTGTTTGCACCCCGGTGGAAGCAGGAGGAGATGCTGATGGCAACAGGAGCGGTAGCATCACAGACCCCACTGTAAAATCCCCCCCATTGGAACCGGGAGGTGGAGGGAGCCACACACCAGCTGGGATCAGCTTGTCTTCCTGCTCCCTACCTCCCCCAATCACTCTGGGCCAAGCAGGCGATGCCCAGCAGTGACCACCAAGGCCCCAGGGACACGCACCAGGCCCAGCTTTGCCTGCGGCAGGGCTGCCCTGGTACATTTCTCAACGGGAGCTAATAGGGACTTGCTGAAAGAGTCCCAGATGTACCACCTGCTACTGCCCCAGTACGGAGGCACGCAGACAGCTCGGCTCCCCTACCTCTCTCCTTTCTGAGGCTCCTACCTCCACCCACATGGAGCCATTCACCCCTCCTCCCATGCCTCATACCCTGCTCTTCTGGCACTCTCACCCCATATTTCACTCCCCACACGCCCCCCCCGAGCCACCCTACCCATACCCCTCAAAGCTGGTATTCTTTTTTACTCTGTGTATCACATTCCCAGGTAGGAAAAAAGGGGATGGGGGAGAGGGAAAAGTGCCCCACGCAGCCTAGGGCCCATCCCATAGGGGTGTTACACCTTTGGGGGGGAAGGTAGGGAGACTGCCCCACATGGCAGGGAGAAACTGGGACCGCTGGGGCAACGGCCCAGGACCATGCGTGTGTGTGTGTGTGGGGGGGGTGCTGGCTCCACATGGGGGGAGAATTGGGCCAGGACCATGTGGAGGGGGGGGCAGAGAATTGGGCCAGGACCACGTGGTGGTGGGGGTCGTCTGACTCCACGCAGGAAGAGGGGGCTGAGATTGTACTGGGGGAGTGGGGCTGCCCCACATGTGGGGGAATTGGGGCAGGACCACGTGGAAGTGGGGGGAAGGAATTGGGGCAGGACCACGTGGAAAGGGGGACGGGGGGGAGCTGCCCTACCTGCGGGGGAGGGGCGGGGAGGGGCGGGGCCGGGCTGCGCGGGGGGGGCTGCCCCCCACGTGGGGGCTGAGCTGGGGCCGCGCCCCCCTCACCGTCTCCTCGGGCTCCATGCGGATCTTGAAGGTTTGCTGCTGCAGCGTCTTGAGGGTGACGGTCACCGCCATGGCGGGCGGGCGGGACGCGCCGGGCGGACGCTTCTTCCCAACGGACTCGGCAGCCCCGCAACATGCAACTCACGCCGCCGCCATCTTAGCGCCCCGCCGCTTCCGGCCCCGGCCAGGGCGCGGGCCCGGCACGTGACAGGGGCGAGCGCCGCCTCGATCACGTGACGGGGGGAGCGCGAAGCCGCGACGGGAACGCCGCTGGGGCGGGCCGATCACGTGACAGCAGACGGCCAGCCGCGGCGATCACGTGATGGGGGGAACACAAAATGGCCGCCCCGCCAGGCTAACATGGCTGAGCGCTTGGCGCGGGAGACCCGTGATTCCCACGCGTGGCCCGGGCGGCGAGGGCAGGCAGCTCCCGCCCAGCACGGAGGCTGTGTCAGACCCACGCAGGCCGGGGGTGGGCGGCCCTGTGCCCGCCCCCCCGTGTGCAGTGCAGGGAAGGGTTCGTAGGGGCACTAGCCCGCCCTGTAGGGGGTATCACCATCCAGCCTTTGAAGCTCATCAAAGTTTCTCAGGAGACTGGTGGCCACTCTTGAGAAGCAGCGGGCCGGGCCGGGCCGTACTGATCCTACAAACAACGTAGCAGGAGTGAGGCTGGGCCTGGCTCCTTCCTTACACAGCAGGCGGCTCAGTCGCAGCCCACAGCCCATCTCCCACCCCATGCACAGGCCGGGTGACACCACCCCTCCCTTTAGTCCTTCCAGCCCCTGTCTTCTCCTACTTGACATGTGGATGGTGTATTTCTCTGGGGGCCTGCACTTGAGCCCCTTGCTCTCTTTTTACAAAGGGGGCAGCTATGGCTATACCTCTGCTAGGCAGCTAAAAATCCTTGCTGGGGTATATTACCTTACTGGTTTAGCTACTATGGTTCCCCCCACGTGAAGTGACTGCATACCACTCACATCCCAGGAAGAGACCCATAGAAACCAGGCCACAGGCTAGACATGAAATTTAATTTAATAGAAATTTTCTTCAATCATTCATACATTCAAGTGTGAACATGAGAAGTCTCCGCACCCCTACCTCTGCATTTCACTCCTCCCCCACAATACATTTCAGAGAGTAGGTAGAAGCTTGGACTCAGTATTCCACTCCCTTACCATCTACCAACCCCCATTCTCTCCTGCCACCCACCCCCACCCCAGCATTCTGTGACCTCCCTCACCAAGACACCACTCTTCATTCTAGCCCATGCCCCATTTCCCCTCCACCCATGCTACAAGACAATAGCTCTATGCAATTTCCAGGGGGGGATTCCTGAGAGGTGTCAGGCATGTTACAGAAAATCAAGGAACTACAGATGTTTGCTTTACAGTCCAAAGAAAGGGGAGGAAGTTACTTAGAGTTACCCATCCCACTTAGTCTGAGCTGTTGAAAGCACGTTCTGTTTAACAGTGGATCTAGTTTGGACTGGCCTCCGCACCAGCTGTCAGTGAACCGGAGGCCAAGACAGCTGCTTGAGTTGTAAAAAACAATGCAGCAGCTGCAGCAACATAGGAAATGGATCAATCCACTCATTTTAAGCTGGAGCTCTCTTGACAGCTGTACAGTTCCTGTGAGAACAGACTGCGGAAAATGAGGCCTAATACTGCAGTCTAGTAGATTTCAACCCCTTGGTTCACCAAAGCAGTGCTAGGATGGAGGAAAAGCCAACCCTACCATCCCTGCCCACTCAGGTCACTGACATGGGAGCAGGGGTTGGAAACTGCTTCCATCTGTGAGGAGGGATGGAGCAGGGCAGGTGACTGGAAGGAGGGCAAGGAGAGGTAGTGGTACACTGCTTCCTATCTATCCCTTTGCAGAGCACCTGGAGGACAGGAGCCGGTAGAGACACCAGCCACCATTAAAAAAGTGGTTGATGCTGCTGTTCCTGCCTGAACCAAGGGTTGTGTTTCTACAGTTAAACTTAGCATACATTCATCCACTGCAGGGCCGAGACCTGAACTCACATGAATGGATCATTGGGGGCATGTGAAAAAAAACAAACCACAAACAAAACACCAATAAAAAAAGTTCAAGTCTCATAGAGACATTACTGTATCCCCTCCCCCTCTCCTTATTTGGGTTTAACCAAGCGAGCCACATGGTGGGGGCCAAAGGCGAGGCTCAGCGGAGGAGCGGTGCTGTGGGAACGGCCTTTTACAGCTCATCCTTCAGCGGTGCCTCCGTTTCCTCCTCTTCCTCCTTCTCTGGCTCATCGTCGTCCTCCTCCTCCTCTTCCTCATTATCGTCCCCTTCGGGCTCATCGTCCCCTTCCTCCTCTTTCCGCTTCTTGTCCTCCTCCTCTTGTTTCTTCCTCTGCTCCTCATCCTGCTGCTCCTTCATTTTCTTCTCAGCATCCTGGGAGAGATTGACAGCAAGACAAGTTATCCGAAAGGGAGAGGGAAGATGGTGCAAGTGGTTTGGGTGCTAGCCTGGGCCCCAGATTCTAATTCCCTGCTCTACCAGGCTGTCTTTAGCAAGCCCATGCCTCAGTTTCCCCATCTGCACGAGGAGAAAGACACTGCCATTGGGCTGGGCCAGTGAGTACCTGAAGGAAGGAGAGATGCAAGGAACCGAGCAGGCTAGACTCTACGCAACCCTCCGAACAGTTTCAGACCACCTTAAACCTTCATGCCTTGGCAAGAACTTTTGCCTCACTTCTGATAGGGAAACCCAGGCCAAGAGCAGGTGGGATGTGCCCAGGAGTCCTGCTTCAGCCATAGGCCCATCCTGATAGCCCCACTCGGAGAGGATGGATTACATTAGAGGGTTTAGGTTTCAGAACATTTACTGAACTGTCTGGCCTTCTCCCCCACACCCAATATCAGATTATTTCAAAGGTGTTTCTATGCCCTGTTACAGCTGAACAGCCCCATCACCCTCCTAGCACACGAAATGCAACAGTAAACCCCCTGGATTCAGCCTGCCTTTCCCTGCACTATGATTCCCCGTGGAGCCCCCCGAACAGCTGCAGGTCCTTCCTCCGACCTCAGGGGGTGACTTGGTCACTGCACTGCCTGCCAGCACATGGGCTCTCCCCTTATGTCGACCCAAAGGGAGGACGACATTTACTAGCAGGGGAAATCTCTTCTGGGGGAGCAGGAGCACTCCCCAGGGACAGTCATTACCTTGGTGGCCCCCCAGGTCTCATTGCCCGACTCCTCTGCGAACTTCTCGTCATCTGTGATCAGGAAGTTGTCGAAGATGGTGCCAGATTTCACCTGAAAGGATAGCAAGCCAGTGACCGCGCAGCAGGGAGCAGCCGGACGCCCCCACGGTGACTTTGCCCATCTCGCCCCAAGCAAAGGTGGGGGGTCAACCAGCAAGACAAGGGTTAAGAGTCAAGTCCTGCCCAGAAGAAAACTTAATGCTGCTCAGCCAGGGCTGAGGCTGAATCTCAAGGATTGGGCAAGAGACAAGCATCTGTTTTGGCTTGGGAAGCGTTCAGACATAAGGGAGCCAGGAGTCCCTGAGGGCGAGTTAAGGTATCTGCCAACAGGGGACAGCGATGCCAGCAGCACAGCCGGGCACAAGGCCCATGTTCCATTAGATTGGATGCCCCAGCGCTTTAGTGCGGCTGAGGCCCCAGGGGCTCAGCCTGAAGCAGAGCGCATTAAAGGCAAGTTCCCACCCCAGCGCAAGGTGGCATGATCTAGGCTACTGTTCAAGAGCTAGACAAGTCCTGCTCCCAGCCAGCCCCCTTGGGAGGAGCGCACCTGCCACAGGTCCAAGCCGATGACGCTGAAGCTGTCGTAGGAGTACAGGCTGGGATCAGGGGTGTAGTCTGGGTTGTCGATCTCAGGGTGCACCCACTTCCCCTTGTAGTCAGGGTTGTCTATCTGTCGGGGTTTCCACTCCCCCTAGGGAGCAGGAGAACAGCATGTGAGAAACCAGCGAGTGGGGAGAGGGATTACACCTGGTCTCCAACAGGCGAGCGGTTGGTCTTACGGGGGGAGAAAGAGCAAGGAATGGGCCTGGCGTGGGGATGCCAGCTCTGCCAGAAGCTATTGCAGCTGTAGGAGTGGGACAGGCTGCCTCCCTTGGTGCACGTGCCACCCTGAGGATCACAGGCCCAGAGTTTATTAAGGGGAGTTGGAACACAAGGGCTCCACCTACAGCTGCTTTCAGAGACATCTGGACTGGGCTGAGGCTGCCATAGAGGAAGCCCAGTGCTAGCACGCTATGGATTATTCCCTTCTCCCCACGCCGTGCTGGAACCCTGAACCAAGGGCTGTGGTGGATTTGCCATCGCTGGCAGTTTTTAAATCAAGACTGGGAGGTTTCCCAGAAGCTCTGATCTAGGAATTATTTCAGACCAGTTCTCTGGCCTGCATTAGGCAGGAGGTCAGACGTGACTAGAGGATCACAAAGATTCCAAGGCCAGAGGGGACCAATGACTGAGCAGCCACATGCCAACTTGAGAACCAGGGAACGTTCCTGCTCAATCTCTGCTCCCCTGCCTGCCCTCAGAAGGCCCCCAAGGCCCTCCTTACCCATGACTAGCTCAGCATGAAGAGGATTAGACTGGGGCAGCGTTGCCACAATAGTTTGGAGTTACAAGGGTCTTGATCTCCTCCCTCCAGGGCACAAGCCTATCCCCTTGCAGAAGGCTGGAGGTGGCACCAAGAAGGGAATGCTCACTGGCACTGCACAGAGGTGTTATGGGGTTCATGCCTTTCTCTAGGTGCATTTGTCACTCCAAGGCAATAACTGGCAAGCATCAGGCCTCAGGTCTCATCCCCCGGGTACACAGATACTCAGCACCGACTGCAGCAGGGCTGCGGCTCCTCAACTGACAGAAGGCCACGATATTCATGGAAGTTTACAATCAGACACTCTAGACCCCCTCCATCCCCCCACAACCGCTCTAGACCCAGCCTGTGGGCCAGCCTTACCTTGTACTCTGGGTTCTGGATCACTGGAGGCTCCCACTCCCCGTCCATCTCCTCATCCCAGTCCTCTGGCTTCTTGGCATCAGGGTCAGGAATGTGCTCCGGCTTATCCCAGTCCTGAGGGGCAGAGGAACAGAACCAGGCAGATGTCAGGAAGAGATTCGCCACCAACTCCTCACTCTGATGGATATCCTCCCCTCCATTGCCCCATCCAGCCCCACACACAGCAAGAGCTACAGCTGTTATC